TTAATGCAATAATTTAATTTAAAGAAATTTGGTTTTTTTTTCTGTATTCATAATCCATTATGTTTATAATATTGGTTATCACATTTATTGATTATTACTTCATCAATGAATTTTTTCTCTTACCAATAACGTTTTATGACAATTGATGACTTCATTTTCAGTAGATCGTTATTACTTACTTGCTTAAATAACATTCCTAGAAGATATTCAGTCAATTGAAGGGATTTATATCATTTCTATCATATTCTTTGTTGAAAATAATATGGAACACAAAGAATGAATTCTATTTACAGGTTTTAAAAATATATAGTGCATTATATCGTAAATGACAAGTATGTCAGATCTTTGATTATAATAATATTAATAATCTGTGATTTTAGGGTTAGTTGCTGGTGATGATAAGCCATGAAATAGAATATATTCGTTTCATACTGAAAAACTTGGTCTTGTTCTTCAAATGTTTTATAATATGCAACTTTAAGGTGGCCATAAACTCACATTAACTGGATAATTACTGAAGATCAGAAGGTATTAAGTTGTTGTTTTGCATAGGTTTACAATATCTGAGCAATGATTATCTTTGATTGTAATCAAGAGAATACTTCATTGTATTTCTAAATACCACTATCTTGATTAACCAAAGGATAAAACAAAACAATAAGAAGCTCAGTTTTGTTACATTTAATCGATGCCAGTCATCATATCTATACGAACTTGGCCTTTACTCCTAGAATCCGCCTTTAAAGTACTATAGAAGGTATATTTACACACATCAGTTAACCTAATCTTTGTGTGCAGACAAAATTTGTACAGTCAATGACTTTAGAATATTCTTCTACTTATTACCTCTTACTTTTCTCACAGTTTCACACTTTTACTTAATTTCAGTTTCTATATTTTATTCTTGCATAAACCATTCACCTTGATAATTTGAATACCGAATTATCTTTACACTCGTTCTACTAATTACATATTATTAACTTTATAAACAACATCAAACGTTTTTTTGCCGATTTACTCTCAATTTTACCTAATGAACTATTATCCCTAGACGATTACGTAATTTCACCTTTAGATTTATATTTGAATCCACTAACATTACTAATGATTACTATTGAAGTACATAATGAAATTGACTAACCATCATTTATTTGATAATAATTTTATTCTTCACATGACAAGGAACTAACTTTAAAAGAAATGAAATACTTTATCACTGATTGAAATCATGAGTCAATTGAAGTTAGACCACCATGGAAAACGTGGAAGCACTGGACGGCCGCTTCGTCTTAGTGTTGGACTCCCCAGCAGTGCGCATCCATGATCCCGCACCGCGCGAGATTCCAACCCAGGATCTATAAGTCCCGCGCCAGGCGCTTAACCTCTAGACCACTGAGCCAACATCCTACGGTGTTTATGTCTCACTTCAACCAATCCATGAAGTCGCGTCACCGTACACCATTTTTATGATATCAGTATTGTAAATTGAGAAGAAAAAAGGGTAGTTTATAAAATAGCAAATATCGCACTTTTTATAGGAATATTAGTTGAAACTGTAGTGAACAGAACACCAGTGGAGACAATCGAATGTATTTGACACAAACTTACAGGATTTGTTAATAAAATCTAATAATCAAATAGTAAATACGTAATTTGAAAAATGTCCATCAATTGCCTCAAAATGACTCAGACTTCATTGTTCTTGAATTTCCATACAAATTGCATTCTGTCCCCATTCTTCACTGTTCGATCCTCTTGTCTCTCTGCTGTCAGACATTCTGTTCCTGACTAACATCATCTACTACTTTTGTCAATATAAGTAGCACACACCACAAAACTACTGATTTATCTATACGGAACTTATTTCGTAAAAGGAATCACATCAGTCAATTAGAACAAGAAATGAATTTATTCTTAAAATAGTAAAACAGTTAAGTATTTAAATGGTCTACTTTTTGTTTTTTAGATCCTGTTCCAACGTTACGAAACCGATATTAAAAAATAATATAGATCACTGTAGAAATGTTTGATACATACTAGTAAAGATCAATAAGTGAAAATGTCATATAAAGGTGAGGTATTTCTAATCTGGTTTACAAAACAAAGTAAAACAAAAAAAGAATGAAAAGAACTCTATTTCATTTGAAGCTAGGGGATAGTTTTATTGATTGTAGTAATGTTTTCATGTATATCATTTTGGCGAGACTCTAATTTATGGACGAGCCAATTAAAGGCGTTTTAGAGATTTCATGGTTGCGGCGCCAACTTCAGTGCTTAATGCTAACTTACGATCATTTTACAAGGAATTTTGTACAAAACGTGATAATTGACTGGTTATAACAAATAAAAAGGTGAGACTATAATTTGTGGACGAATCAATCAGGTATAAGATAATAGATCTCGGATTTTAACGCGAAAGTCTTTCATTCGTTTGGTTAAATAGAGTTCAAACTCTATTTGGATTGGCATTATAGCTGATGTCAGTTCGTAATGAAAACCCTATATATAATTCCCAACTAAGACAACTTATGACAATTATTGCGAACTGGATAATAAAAGCACCAGTAACACTGGCTGCAGCCAGGTACGACAATATATGCGGATGATTGGAGAGCTTACAGACTCTTACATAGGTTTGATTATGTGCATCGTGTCGTTATCCACAGGTGGCATTTTGTGTATTCAACAACCGGAATGCACACAAACAATATTGAAGCTATGTAGTCGAGGCTGAAAGAGTTTTTGAGACTTTGTCATGGCTCCAGAGGTCGACTATTCTTTAGCCATATGGATGATTTCATCTACTGCATGAATTACGATTTTACAACCTCTGAACCTCTTTCTAACCTTGACAAGTTTTCGAACCATGTATAAGACGTGTATCCACTTTATTTCCTTGGTTTTGTATAGTATATTTTTACTCTATTCTGACTGTTTGCTGATTGGCTAATAGTTCTCAAGGTCACTGAAGATTCGTTCAAAGGTGGTTCATAAATTAGAGTCTCGTCATCATTTTATTTATCAACTTCTAGTTTGACATTATAGATGAAACTTATATTTGAAATAATCTCCGTGATTGGAATTTAAATAATTCCAACGTTTTGTCCAGGTAACTGGTCTGAACGTCTTTAGGGTATTATCCTGAATTTCAATCGCTGAGATTATTTCAAATATATTATTCACATATAATGACTTTTTTATATTCGGCGCCCAATTTCTGTCAAACTATTCATTATAATCTTGACGAATATTCGTATAAATTCTAGTTAAACAGTTTAAAAATATTTTTTTGCTTTTCTTACAGAATTAGCAACGAATCGAATTCATTATATACTTTTCACATATGTCCAACAGGATCAATCAATGAATGTATGAATTAATGAATAGTATGAAGATAAAGTAAAATGATTAATTTTAGTGAAAATTAAAGTGTAGTAAATTTATAAGTCGTTCAAAGTAAAATGAAACTGATATTTATGCATAATTTTTTTTATTAAAAATCCTCATTTTTTGAAGACGTTGTCTTCAGTGAGTTGAACGATTCAAACGTAAATGTATTCATTGTGTTTAGCGAATTGAGCGGTTAAACATTCTATAAGAAATATGTCAATAAATAAAATATTATGATAGAAGAAGCAAAATGTTATAATTTCAAGAAAGTTGTCTGTGTGACACATTTTGTACAGTTATATGCATTCGTGGAATTGAACAAAAGAGTTAAAATATAAACACATTAGTTAATATTTTATTAGGAATTTTAAAGTCTATTAAAAGGATTTCCAGGGTGGTCTAGCTTAAATCGACTTATAAATCTTACCATTAAATTACTAAAATTTCCATAAACTCTCACTCTGATCATAATTATAATGCGCTCACTAGTGACTGGCTTCAACATGTGTTTCCCGGAGTTGTAGTGAATAAACATGTCCAATAGAATTAAATCATGTCTGTTGTGAGGCAGTTACACACTGAAGACAATAGTGGACAGTGGCGCAATCTTAAGGATTGGTTGAAGTTCGAAATTAACACCGTTATATGTCAATTAATGGTCTAGAGGTTAAGCATTTGGGAGCGAGGTTGAAGGTCCCGAGTTCGAGTCCCACGTGCCGAATCGTGAATGCACCCTGCTACAGAGTCCCGTACTAGGACGAGACGGACGTCCAATGCTTCCAGGTTTTTCACGGTGGTCTAGCTTTATTCGATTAATGAATCCAATCATTAAATTACAACAATTTCCACAAACAATTCCACAGACACTTAACTACTTAATTAATGTGTGGTATGTACTACTTATATTGACAAAAGTAGTAGATGATGTTAGTCAGGAACAGAATGTCTGACAGCAGAGAGACAAGAGGATCGAACAGTGAAGAATGGGGACAGAATGCAATTTGTATGGAAATTCAAGAACAATGAAGTCTGAGTCATTTTGAGGCAATTGATGGATATTTTGCAAATTACGTATTTACTATTTGATTGTTAGATTTTATTAACAAATCCTGTAAGTTTGTGTCAAATACATCCGATTGTCCTCACTGGTTTTCGTGTTCTCTACAAATGGACCTAAAAATAATGGATTAATCTACTTTGTTTAATACAAGCCAAATTCCTCTGAATTTTACACAGTATCATTACATAATTAAATAAATAATTCTACAGAAAAAAGAACTAAAATCCTTAGAGCATAAATTATACACTCGAATGTTGTCAAACTAGCACCAAATCAACCAATTCCTCAATGAATGGATGTAATAGTTGATTTCGGTGCTCTTTTGTAGTTTAAACTAATCAAGGTCAAATGATCGATTAACTGCTCATTGATTGGTTGAAAAGATTTAATATTATTTATACACATAAAGACTATTGGTTCAATTTGTAAATGTGTATGTGAACATTTATTTATTTTTAGCTTTCTCGTTCACTGATTGGTTTTTATAAATTAAAGGGCAAGTTCATCAATTTAAAAATTTGAATATAAATAAAAAATTATATTTTTAAATATAGTTTTTAACAGTTTGTGGATATAATTTGTTATAATTCAGGGTTCACCATTACTACTGCTACACCAACAACAACAACAGCAACAACAACAACAACAACAACAACAACTACTACTACTATCTGATAACCGTTTATCATACCTACTACACTGCTAAATAATTAAATAACTCCTAAAAGTGTCTCTATTATCTGGAAATTTACTCCAATCGTATAACAATCCAATTAACAACCAGATGATCACAAGCAATCAAAAGCGTTAGAATATCCATTCAGTAGTAAACAAATATACAGTACAGAATAAATATTACCTAAAGCTTTCATTATTATTTCGGTGTGAATTACTAAATAAATTAACTGTTGATAATAACTATATGGAAGATCCAAGTAAATCATTCAAATCAGAAGATAATTTGGGCAATCTGGCTTCATGGAGTACAATAACACAAACAACATCACAAACAACAACAAAACGTGATCGATGGAAAGGAAAAATTGATTTTCTCATAGCATGTATGGGATTTTCTATTGGTTTGGGTAATGTGTGGAGATTTCCCTACTTGTGCTATAAAAATGGTGGAGGTAAATTATTAAAATATTTTATAATTATTGTGATAATATGGTTAAGTTTACCACTCATTCAGCTTTTCGGAAATAAAACCACAATAACGGTTGCTAATTGGAATGCTCTTAAATTCATAGGTTTTAATTTAAAGGTATAATAACACTGTAAACTAAAAATGCAGTATATTTTTAAATATTTGCAAAATCTGTTATATACAAGTAAATTAAAAGACTGAATGGTTAAGCCCATATGACACTGAAATATATTTGCATATTTTACAAACGTTTGGGTAGTTTTAATTAAATCATATTGAATATTCCAAAAGATCTTTACCATGTGATGTTTTCTGAATATGAATGTTGTTATTATTCTGCTATTTTTAATTATCACTTCGTAATTGAATTAAATAGTTCATTAAAAGTCAGAAAAATAACTGATTATCTATTTTAAAAACAATTCATATAGGGTCCCATAACTTAATTTCTTTAAATGTTATCCAATCACTACACCTCAGAAATATTATGTACCATGTTATTATATGCTTCAGGAACTGTTTGTCGAATATAGTAGTAAAATAATACCATAATTATTATGGTAATAATAAGAGATGTATACCATATAGAGTTTTATGAAGTCCGTTTGTATGGTAATTTATCAGTTACGAACAGCCAAAGCTGTATTCTCTAACTTTAAATCTTGATTAAAACCCATCTATCAAATCCGTAACGAGTATTATCTGCCTGTAAAATTACATCCCTGAGAATTAGAAAAAAATGTGTAGGCTTTTTTCAGTACTTGACCATGACTTAATTAAAAGTATTTCTCATTTTTGGTGTACCCTTTCGGACTAGTAGCGTTAAAATTAATTCTGAAGTGCTGAGTACAATAGAGGTCGGTGCTAAATAAATTAGAATATGAAATCATCTCATAAAGTAACTGAACATTGAAAAATACCCTCTTGTAAGATATCGCGACCCTCGTTAAGGTGTATTCAATAACCGTAAACTATAGTTGAGATTACATAATGTGGTTAAAAACTGGATAGTGAATTTAAATTCATTCATTATCTTATTACTTTAATTCGCTCTTCACAACACATATTCTTTTTGGTTTGATGTTTACTACTGATGATATTATATTCTCTACTTTTTAAATGATCATATGGTTGACTTCCTTTATCTGTGTACTGATGTGATGTTTAATAATTTCAACAAACACCTATTTGTTTTAGATCCTACATTATTTAAGATTAACTAAAATGATCACTGTCTACAAGTTCCATAGTAGTTAATTATACTAAATAATTATGTATTGAATTCGACAGATATTTCCAAATTTACAATGTACTCATTGTATTATGAACATTTTTGTTCACAAATATTTTTTAAAATAATAAATTTGATTAGTCAACGTGTGGTGTGGCTTACTTGTATCCACATAAGTAGTATATAACGGTGGTTAAACATAGAATGTATTTCCGTAGAAGATCGATAAGGAATAAACGGAACAGAACGCAATTAGTATGAAAATGCATGAAGAATGAAATTCGAGACAACAGAATGATAATTGTAAAAGGAAAAGTCAAGTTTGGAACGATGGATTGATATTTTGCAAATTAACTATTTACTATATGGTTCTCAGATTTTAGTGAGATGCTCTGTTATTTCGTGTCAAATAAATTCAATCATCCCCACTCGTGTCCTTATTAATTGTAACTAATTAGAGATTTTCACTGTAATTTTAAAATGTACGATTGAACTGAAGAAAATCTGTTTTAATATTAATCTGTATTTGTATCTTATAACTAGACAGCTTTTGTAACTCAATAGATTCAAGCTTTTCAAACTAAAACAAGAAACAAAAACTTGAAAAGAAATACATTTTGAAATAAGTAAAACATATTTATTAGGCATGAATAATGCAAAGAAAGTTTGAATTATTAAGTATATAAATGTAATAAGAGCTCTTAAAGGCTTTAATGTTACAGACATTCTTGTTCATATCACGTTTATGGACATTTAGACTAGACTAAATGCTTTAGAAACTTAGTGAATCAATCATTCCTTCAATTGGAACATGGTGGATTTTTTATTTATAAAAAATTATATCGTCTTATTCGTGATTTAAGTTAGAAAGTTTACTTGATTTAACATGTGACTTATTAAACTTTAATATAATAAAGACTAAACATTTATTGTCTGTATACAATTGTATTAATAACAGGGAATGCATGGTAGATATAATTTCATCCTGAAGTATCGTACAACATCTTTGAAATATGTTAAGTAAACATTTGTAGACTTTATACTCAGCGCCCAAAATACTATGAAATTATTCGATCAAATTAAGACGAAAGTTCCTTCATATCCATTTTTCCTCTTTCCAAATTTATTTCACTGGATTATACTCCTGGAATAACCTCTCTAAACCCTAATCTTTCCGATTACAGCTTATACTTTGACTATCTCTGTCACTACGGGATTTGAATCGACAATTGTATCTCTGTGCTAGTGTGGTGTAGCAACTCGAACTGATGTACGTACGTACAAAGTTCTACGTTGTTACTGACTGGCTGAAGACGAAAGTTCATATATATATTTGTACTGATTCTGTGTAAATTATTCTGAAAAAACATGTGAAATAGTGTTACATACTATACAGATTTTCCAAAATATATTCAAATCTGATCATTTTGTTACTTTACATAATTTAAAGTAGATTTAGAGTGTACATATGAAGTGTACTGCACTTTTTTTTACACTTTTCTTTTCAGTTAAACATTGATTGTGTGATATTCACACAAGAAATTTCTTAATTGTTGGAAAAAAATAATGTCGTTATGTTTTCTGAAAGCAGAAATTCAAGAAAACACCTCTTATCATGCTGCAGCTTAGATTGTTATAGTGATAATCATTGAACAGAATAAGAAGTTTAACATTTACACTAATTACTGACATCAAACAACTTGTTCACCATAATCATTATTACATACATTGTTAAATAAGTAATAATTAATAGAAGCATATCATCAGTAACTGGACATTTAATCTTTGGTTCAGATTATTCAATAATGTATTAGCATTTACCTAGATAGATGATAAAGGGATTCAGGTTGATAAATTTCATAAAATCCTGATGAAAATATTAAAAAAATGAATTATCATGAGAATACTATGGGTCTATGTGAACAAGAGAATATATATGATGATTAATGAGTTGTCTGAATTTCCAAAGATAAATTTAGATAAGGTTTGAAATTTATGAAAAACATTTTGAGTCAGGGTGTATACATTCTGTTTTTAACATCTTTTTAAGTTGATAAAGGAAACTTCAATATATCTGTTGATCTGAGCTAATCTATCAATGTCTTTATCATAGGATGCTCTATTTATGATGCGGTAATTTTAAAGCTTCTTTAAGGATTTCTATGCTTTAGACATTCCTACGTTCGTGAAGGAGGGTTATAATCTTACATTATTAATACGTGATCAAGTAATATTTATTATGTAAGAAAATCTTTTAAAAAGGTGATTTCGAGATGATAACAAGACAGTCCCAAATTCGTCAGAGTTGAAAGAAAATCTCATTCATAAATCTTTTTTTCTGAGAAACTGATTAGTCCATATTCAATTGCAAATCTCACAAAATAATGTATAATTCAAGTAATTTACTTAGAACTTGCAAACGACTATGATATTATGGTGTTATCGTTATACGAATTCCTAGATTTATGCGATAAATTTCATAACAATACAACTGCCCACATCTCTATTGCCAATAAGTTGATAATGTTTCAGAGAAATAAGATCTTGTGATAATATATATAAACTGAAAATACTTGATCGATGAATGAAGTGAAGACATGATTTTCTTTATCAAATAAAACACGTCCACCCTTGTTTTATTCAAATAAAACTCTTTTAAAACTAACAAAGGATGCATATTAAAGAACTTTTTGAATTTTATTTAGGAGCCTTTCTTCTACCTTACTTCGTCAGTGTGATCGTTGCGGGTGTACCATTATTTCTTCTTGAAGTTGCTTTGGGTCAGTTTATGTCTAAAGGAGCTATTGCAGCCTGGGATATTTGTCCACTTTTTAGAGGTATGTGCGTTTAAAATTTAAGAAGCCGGATATTGATTTGCCATTAAAGAAATATCTTCAATTTATATTAACTGCCCAACTAAATTTCCCTGTTTTTATTTTTACTTCACAGGTATTGGATGTGCTAGCACTATGATAAACTTTTTGGTGAACAGTTATTACACAGTGATTCTGGGTTGGGCATTTCATTTTATTTTCGCTTCATTCAGTAAAGAGCTTCCGTGGGCTAAATGTGGACATTCCTGGAATACTAACTCATGTATTGATGCTGTAGTGAGAACAAATTTAAGCAATTCAACATCACTTCTCCGTCAACATATATTTGGAGCTGATCCTGCTTCAGAGTACTGGGAGTGAGTTCGTATACTCCGAAACTCTCTTCATGGGGCTCAGTTAGTCGTTTTGTATTCTACACGACTAAATTACGTGTTTACTCATATGGTGCAGCTAATGATCTAATCAAATGCTGCTTGGTAAGCACTCATCAGGAACTTGTAATAAACGGTTCTCAGTGCTACCATGCTAGCGATCTTATTAGCTTAACGTATTATTTTTATTAGTTACTTTATTCTTATAAACATTAATTCTTATTTTAATGATTTAGCTAAACATTCTCTACTACTAATTAACGTACTTATAGATTTCACTTGTGAAAGTATACGTTAATATTAAGTAGGTTATATGACATTGAAAAAAATTGTCTAGGTTGAATAAAATAAAGATTTCATAAAACTTTCATCAAAAATGTCTGTACAAATATCTTCCGTCAAATAGTGCTTCACACCAAACTTTTAAATACTGATTTCGCTACCCTTCTTACATATTTCAGTAGATCGATTCTACCGCATACGGCAAAAACGCTTCAGACGTTTTAAAGAAAGTATAAGCAATTAGTATTCTGCTGTAATTCATTAAAATGTGTTTAGTTCAACAGAGATACGATAACTAACAGGTTTAAATTCGAAATGTAAAAATTTCGAAGTTGATAGTCAGTTTTTAGCGCAATGAAGTTGTTTTTATGTAATAAAACTTAGGCACTATTTGAACTGTAGTACATTAGAAATCTAATTTATTGCTATAAATTAGTAAATTAACCTAGAAATAGGTGTTGGTAACTATCAAAACCTATTATTATAAAGCTTTTACACTTAAAAAGATGGTTGCTGTCTTCAATTTTCAGTGTGAGCATCAACACTGAGGCGTAGATACATCTAAGTGTGAAGTCTCAAATAGCAAGAAACGTTAATTAAAATTGTACTCCTATCCATTTACATGATATAAACCTTTAAACGTAGAAAATATTCATTTATCCACCTGTAAACTTTACTAACAGAAATTCATAAACTATGTTCTTGTATATTAACATTTGATTTCTTTGAAATTAATCTTTGAAAAAATAGAGTTCTTTATCATTTTCTCTGAAACAATTAAACTAACATATACAGATAAGAAATCATTCATACGTCACTGATTGCTTCCATAAAACACTGTGAATTGGTTTTGCTCACCAAACTTCCGTTCACTATTATATATGAATCCGATTGATATTCAAAGCTCATTATGAGATTCTAATGATTTCTAATATTAACGAATACCTTCTATTTAGTGTATAGAATTAGAAACTAAAATATATCATAATTAGTTTACTGAGATTATTTTTTGTTTATCCGATGTTTCAACTTCAGTATGAAATTCATTGAATGTATTGTGATATACGAAAACTATACTCATTATATTGGTCCAAAACAAAAAAAAAAACAAACTTGAACTCAAAATGTAAATAAATTAACAGTAATGTATGATACTAGATAGAGTTTATTGTATGAGCGCGTTCCCAATAAATTATTAACAATGAATCACAAATTACTTAAAGTGAATAGAATGAAAAGTTCCAGGAGGTCCACTTATCGACTTAGAATACGCAGATGACATAGTCCTGTTTGGTGAAGACGCTGACAAAATGCAGAGTCTTCTGGTAGCACTAAGCAACAATGCCAGAGTGTTTGGGATGCGCTTCTCTCCCTCTAAATGCAAGTTGTTGCTTCAGGACTGGTCTGCGTCAACACCTGAACTAAGGATAGGGAGTGAAGTAGTCGAACGCGTTGACAACTTCACTTATCTTGGAAGTGTGATCAGCCCTAATGGGTTGGTATCGGACGAAATCTCAGCACGGATTCGAAAAGCTCGTTTGGCTTTTGCCAGCTTGCGTCACCTTTGGCGAAGGCGAGATATCCGTCTATCAATAAAAGGACGAGTATACTGCGCGGCAGTTCGTTCTGTTTTAATTTACGGCAGCGAAACATGGCCCTTAAGAGTAGAAGACACCCGTAAGCTACTAGTATTTGACCACAGATGCCTTAGAAATATTGCTGGCATCTGCTGGGATCACCGGGTAAGTAATAGGGAGGTTAGACGCAGGGTATTAGGGAATGATGGTAAATCAGTTGATGAGGTTATGAATCTTCATCGACTGAGATGGTTGGGCCACGTATTACGTATGCCTGAACACCGATTACCACGACGTGCGATGCTAACCGGGGTAGGGGATGGTTGGAAGAAAGTTAGGGGCGGCCAAACCAAAACGTGGCATCAGTGCCTGAAGTCACTAACTTCTAGTCTGAGCCACGTTGGTAGATGCAGACTACTTGGTTGGGGTCCGCGTGACTTTCGCAACCAATGGTTGGAGACTCTTGGGGACATGGCTCGGAATCGATCACAATGGCGTCGGTGTATACACTCCCTGTCTTTCCTTAAAGTAAGAGACTAAAATCACTTCATTCTTTCTGTCTACGAACTAATTCTTTCTTCCTATACTATATCCTTATTGCAACCTTTGACCTAACCACTCCTATGAATCCGGTGTTCATCTTGCTGTGCTAATGAGGTGTGGCAACCTGGATCGATGCACATATGTGCCTGGTCCTACGTTGTAGCTGACTGACTGACTGAATATTGTTACGTCATTGTAATTGTGTGTAAATAACAATCGTATATAAATAGTTTATTATCTATATGTATGAAATTAAGCTTAGAAAGAGACGTCTTTATGATACCAATATCTGATGATACATTTTCTATTGCATTTCATGGCTATATGCTATATAATTTTAGGACTATATCTTTCAAATGAATTATTTAATAGCTTTGATGAAAACAAAATGTCGAGTTAAAAAACTTGGAGAATGTTAGGTAATTAATAATTCAAAGTCTTGAACCTATGCTCCCTAACCAAAATATTCCTCCTGTATTAACGTAATTGATACTCCTCGTGAGGTTTAAACTTTGTTCACTCCATTTCAGAGACGTTAGTGTTAGGCTATTGGAGCTGTAAATAACTCCTTGCATGATTACAATATATCCATTTAATGATCACTGAATAGTGGTTATTGTCATATTTCTGTAGTCCTTAGTGCTGACGGAAATTCACTGAACTATGGCCACTAATCTAAGTAACTGAACATGGCGTAGACTAAGTTTTGATGTTAACTGGTTGAAATAATGATGAACTATCTACTTTCAAGTTGAAGTCAACCGTGATCTGGAATATAAATAAACGGCTGGGACGGTTAAATCGTATGTGATTATTTTATTAGAGCTAAAGTTGATTGCCTGTTTAAGTGTCCTATCTGACGTCAAGTAATTCTTTGATTTAAATTCAGCAAGAATGACATTGTTCTCAGGATGCGATGAATTCATTGTATCTTGTTACTTGCTCTTCAGCTATGCATTAGTTTGTGTATAGATGAACGACAAACAACAGAGTACAATGAACTCATCGTATCCTGCAAATATTGTTATTCTTGCTTTATTTAAGTTTGTGAAGGAAACCCGCTACATGAATTCCTTGATTGATATTTATTCGTGAAAAGTCTATGTTATAGTGTCCTAATACTTATTTTTTGAAAATAACCTATAGTTGTTTGTAGAGGCTTAACACTTAAACAAATTGTACGTTTGCACATGAACTTATTTTTCATATGACACAAAGAAACAATGAGAATAGAAATTAAGATCTTGAACCGATCGTTGTCAGACCACAATTAAAAACCTGAGAACACTAAACGGTCGTTTCGTCCTGGTGATGGACTCCACATTGGCTCACATCCACGACCCCATATGTGGGATTAAAACCTAGGGCCTTCGGTCACGCACCCTAGTGCTTAACCTTTAGTATAATAAGCCGGCATCCAGTATTGTTAATGTCTAAGTCCAACTGATTCACCGTAATACGCGACTTAGTCGTGTAGAGGTTAAGTGATTGCACGCAAGGCCAAAGATCCTTGGTTTCAATCCTGAGTGCAGGGTCGTGGATGTATATTGCTGAGGAGTCCCATACTAGGACGAAACAGCCGTCCAGTGCCTACAGGTTTTGTGTGACGGTCTAACATTGGTTGATTCGTGATATCAAATAAAGCTCAATAATCTCTACAACTCTATACTGAAAATGGAAATATACATTGATAATGTTTATTTCAGCTAAAATTAATTTAATCTAACTGAAGTAAACAACTTCTATTAGACATAAATAATCCAAAAAAAGATAAATATTATTCTTTCTACTCTAAAGTTATTTTGCTGATAAACTCTATTGTTTATTTTAGATTTAATAAATAACTTCCAAATGTACTTAAATATATACTAAATACATAATAACAACTAGGTTATTTCAACAGTTGAGGTCATGAGTCAGTTAAAATCAGATCACCATGGAAAACCTGGAAGCACTGGATGGCCGTTTCATTCTATTGTGGTGCGTATCCACGATTCCACCTCGCGGGATTCAAACACAAGACATATCAGTCTCGTGCCAGGCGCTTAACCAACTAAACCACTGAGTCGGCATCCATCGGTGTTAATGTTTAACTTCAACTAATCCACAAAATTGACGGACACATCCACTATTGTCATCAGTTAGTTATTATCTCACAACTGACCCGGTTGAACTCCACTGGTCACTGCTTCTCATTAGAACTCCATGAAATACCTCTTGAAGCCAGTCACTAGTGAGCATATGTTGTGGATACGCACTGCTGAGGAGTCCCACAATAGGACGAAACGGCCGTCCAGTGCTTCCAGCTTTTCCATGGTGGTCTAGCATCAATTGACTCATGATCTCAACTATTGAAATTACTACACTCTCCATAAAACCCCCTTCTGATACTAATTAAGTTATTTAATAATTGTTATTTATATCTTTTCATTAATCATAGAAATCGTGTCTTACGAATATCAAATGGTATTGATAATTTAGGAACAATTCAATGGGATTTAGCATTATGCCTTTTATTAGCTTGGACAATAATATTTTTAGCAATATGTAGAGGAATAAAAACATCTGGAAAAGTAAGTTTATAAATTTATTGAAATAATATTATATAGAAATGAAATATGTAGTTAATGTTCTAATATAAACAATTGAGATCATTAGAATAGATTATTACTGATAACAAATTAATCAATGATACATATGAATAATTCTTTTCTTTATTATTAACTTATTACTTGAATGAATAGTAGTATATTAAACATTTAGTTAATAATTAGAAAGAATTATTATTTCAGTAAAAAAAATACTATACCTTAACATTATTTTCAATTAATGTAAGATTACAATGAAAGAATAATTAAATAATCTTTCCTAGTCGGTTTAATCACAGAATAAATGATTTATTAAAACTCATGAAGGTTAAGTTTTTACCCTAGATGAATATATTAGTTATAAAGATAGATATATAATATGAAGTGAAGTGATTTTCTATAAGCTAAATGTTCTGTTTGCCAATATTTTTACAAATTAGACTTTATAGATTGTTATAGTATGATTGAAACTATAATATATGGAGACAATCAGACAGAATTTAATATTTTACGATTTCTGGGTTCTAATTATGTATTTTTTCTTTCAACAACGTTGTTTGTATCATCTTGGATAGTGTATGATCATTTGTCATTGGTTTAAATTGTTCTCATATGTTTTATATAGATGAGTAAAATTAATTTCATAGTATGATTTACTCTAAAGTCATTACCAAGCCAGATATTTGTAATTAAGTAGTATAAAAGATTTTATTAATAAAGACTCTTATTCGCATAGAACTTTAACAGATTGATTCAAATTAATAGTCATTTTGAAAAAAGAGATAAATCTAACAAGTTAATAAAAGTAGAAGTCTGATAATTTTGGATACAAATTATAAAGAGTTGATTTTATTAGAAGTATAATTTGGAATCTCATAAATATCTGGTTTTATCTACTTTTGGATATGATGTTAATAGGTTTAATGAATAATGAATTCTTGATTGATATAATTTGTCAATGAATTGTGCTTATACACATTCTATATGAACTACAAAGCTGATCGATACATCCTAGGATTTAGTATATCATTAAATGAAATTATGTTAAAACCGTTTAGAATCGTTGAGTCTGAGCTTAAAATATAAATAATGATAAAAAAAATCAAAGGTAATTTCACCGCTTTCACTTAAAAATAATTCGTCATTCATGTTATAGTGTACTAACTAGGATAGTGGTCAATTATTCGTTTTAGTCATTATCGTGCCGATTAAGTTTTCTTTTTTACATGATTTACACAACAGCATGAATAGATGTAATCTTTGTAGATGAACCTTGGCTTATATTCAGTTTAGTTATATAACCAAAAGTTCAATAGTAAAGGGTGGCTAATTGCTAAAATTTATATTCATTATACTACTTAAATATTCACAGATTGAAATCATGAGTCAGTTGAAGCTAGACCACCATTGAAAACCTGGAAGCACTGGACGGCCGTTTCGTCCTAGTATGGGACTCCTCAGCAGTGCGCATCCACGATCCCGCACCACGCGGGGCTCGAACCCAGGACCTACTGGCTTCGCGCGCGAGCATTTAACCATTAGACCACTGAGCCGGCATCCAGCGGTGTTAGTGTCTAACTTCAACCAATCCACGAAGTTGCGCCACCATATACCATTGTCTTCAGTGAGCTGATATCTCACAACAGACCTGGTTGTACTCCACTGGTAACGGCTTCCCACTAGAACTCCAGGAGTATCTCTTGAAGTCAGTCACTAGTGAGCAGATGATTATTAAATATGTTCACAGTTATTTTCCGAGTTTTCATTCTTGGTTACGCTTTAGTCGTGCTAAAGCTTGTTCATTTTTTCTAGAATAACAGTAAAGTGAGTCATTATGCTAAGCTTCAATGACAATAACTCATTGTATTATTGATAGATGGATATAGTTTAAGAATCGAAAATCAATAAACGCGTACTGTTAATATTACAACAACGGAAAAAATGCATTATTTCAATTACATAAAGATTTAATTGTGTACAAAACTTCTAAGCATATAAATTTGTCGACAGTAAACTAATAGTCAGCATAGAGTTATCCGACGATTAGAAACTGAAGGTTTAAAACTAGCAGATCAAATTGATTTGAACGTTGTAGACGGAAAAAACACATCAGATATAACGCTAAGCATATTGATCAAGATCGATAAAATAATGTAGCATAATTAATAATGATCAAAATAATTGATTACATAATCAAAATAACAGTGGTAAGTAACTGCATAGATACATTAGGTAATTACGACAAAACCAACTTAGTAGGTGTGTATCAATGTAGGTAATGTGAAAAGTATAAGATTACTCAACAGATATAACTCCGTAATTTGAATTGTTTACAAAACAACAACGAAAGATACTAAACATTACTTCTGTAGACATAAGTAATATTGAAAACAACTGATGGTTGTCATTTGTACAGTGCAATGTAAAAGTAATTTCCCTTGTTTGTACTTGGTTATTGCATGTTCAAAAATCATATTTTCTACTAGATGTAATTTTACCCACTGTTAATAACCAAAGATTGTTACGTAATGTTAAAGTTAATTTAATTTATAATTTATTTCCGGAAAGATTGATTATATGATAATTATCTTCCTGTTCACTTCGTTTTCATTTTAGATTATGTATATAACTGCAACTACACCATATATATTCATGATTATATTACTTGTAAGAACAGCTCAGTTAGAAGGAGCATTAAATGGTATAACGTATTATTTAAAACCAGACTGGGATAAATTAACAGATATGACAGTAAGTAATATTTTTTACATTGAGGATGTACATATGTAAAACTTAATTTTGTAAATTTCCTGTGTTTTTCTTTCATTTCGGTTAACAGACAGAATGAAATAATGAGTTTTCAAAAGAATGACTTTAATTTTGCTACACAGGAATCGTTAACAGCTGACATATTCCTTATTGCAAAAAACTTACCAAAATGCTTACAATTTAGGGAGAAAAAGGAGAAATCGTCCTGAGTAAAAATGGATAATAGCTAACAGTGAAATCCAGGAGGCGCGTTTCGTCCTATTCGGGACTCGTCAGCTGAAAGTACATATGCCAACAAAGACTAATCAATCATAGCAGTAAACATCAATGAAAAGATTCAATTAAACAATACAAAAATGAATTAAAATCTATTCTGATTTATAACCGGTGCAAATTTTTGATAGTTACAATAAAGTTATAGTTCTTAGTGGCAAATCCAAAATAAACCAAATTCAAAATTTATAAATTATATTCTTTCACTTTCTAATAAAAAGAAATGTCAATTCATTTTATAAGATATCACATTTTGTTTTGTTATACTTACTGACTCGTTATTGGATTACATAATAACATACTCTTATATGCTCTGAGTTATCCAGCACAAAACTTTTATTAAAACGATTTGTAGAATATGCAAGTCTTTTTGGTTTTAATTACTCAAAAGTATATGTTTTACGAACTAATATGTAAATATTAAAATTGCCATTGTATAAATTCATGTAAATATATTTTTCTCTTTTGGAATATAACATGTAAACAACTATTTAGTTTATGAAAACTAAAGAAGTTAATCGTATTACTAAAGATCTAAAAAAGACATTCCATCATTCGTTTCAAATTTATTTGGATCCATTTAAAAAAAAGTAATGAACAATAGTTTCAGTACAATTACTTAAACATATTTAGATTAAACTTCGTGTTGACAAGATTTTTCTTTACCAAACTTAAAAAAATTTCTTTCTTATTATTTCAATTAAACTGTAATTATAACTGAAAGAAATTAAAACATTTTTAATAGTTGAACTCCTGAGTCAATTAAAGTTAAACCATCATGAAAAACATGAAAGTACTAGACGACTGTTTCATCTTAGTATGAGACTCCTCAGAAGTGAGCATTCACGATCCTGCCCAGGACCTATCGATTTTGCACGTGAATGCAATCTTATGGATTGATTGAAATTAGACAATAACATGATTGAATGTTATCCTTAGTGATCTAGAAATTAATCTTTCACCAAACGGTCACCTAATACTTCTAGACTTTCCATTATGATCTAGTTTTAATCGACTCATGAATTCAATTACTACAATTTCTACTAAACCTTCTTTATGATCAAACATTTTTATTCAAAACCATAAATTTATACAATTAATATACTGACATAGTTATTCATATCAGAGTAAATGAAAAAAAACATTAATTAAATATTTAACTATAATAATAAATAATTTAACAATTCATTAATCAATTATGATATTGAACTTTTATAGCAACTCACGTGCAATTGAGTTTGTTCTCATCTAATTCGGTTAAGCGCTTCTGTTAACTTATTTAGCGGACAAAGTTATCCACACTATAACAATTTATTGTACCTTTATTATTGTTGTGCTTGTTTGAAATTTGTATGCTTGAACATTGCTTACCACCTACGCATATATTCATTCTGCTAGCTTTATTATTAACTGCTTAATTGATTCGATGATCCATTCATTTCCCTATATATATATGACTCACTCATTAGTCTCACTACTTTGTGGTCTGAGTTATCTGCTAATAAAACTGTGGTCGCTGCTTCTCTTTGCCTTCTGATTTCAAACACCGTTAAGGATTATATGGTAACGGTTACTTGGGTGATTGGTTAACGAAGCATAGCCACTACACCAATAATTATTGATTAATTAATTAAATTCAGCTTCTATAGCATTACAATTATAGAACATGATTTAAATTTGATTATATAATTATTTATTTTTTTCTATTAAGATAATATAAATAGCTTACAATGAGAATAATTAAGAAACTATATAGAATAAACTACTTAAAATAATTTAGATTATGTAATTAAATAGAATAAATTATCTGTTTATAATATCAATCTATTAATTATTAACTTAAGTTTAATTAGTTATTATAATTCGTGATTTATATAAAGGAATAAATTATTGTTTTCAGTTTTTCTCTTTTTTTGTTTGTTTGTTTGTTTCTTCTTTTAAATATTTACCTTGAAAAAGAACTTACTTACTTACGCCTTTTACTCCTCCGTGAAGGAGTATAGGCCAATCCCCTGCATTCTGTATCAAACCCTGTCCTGGTCAATCACTCCCAGCTCCTTCCAGTTGTTATTCATCCTTTTCATATCTCCTTCTATTTCCCGACGTAATGTGTTCTTTGGCCTTCCTCTTTCCCGCCTTCCTTCAGGATTCCAAGTTAGGGCTTGTCTCGTGATGCAGTTTGATGATTTGCGTAATGTATATCCTATCCATTTCCATCGTCTTTTCCTAATTTCTTCTCCAACTGAAACTTGGTGTATGCTCTCCCACAGAAGACTGTTGCTGATGGTATCCGGTCAATGGATGTTGAGTATCTTGCGTAGACAACCATTTATAAATACTTGTACCTTTTTGATGGTGGTTGTTGTAGTTCTCCAAGTTTCAGCTCCGTACAGTAGAACTGCCTTGACGTTGGTATTGAAGATTCTGACTTTGGTGTTGGTTGACAGTCAGCTGTTTTGAGTTCCATATGTTCTTCAATTATAGGAATGCGGCCCTGGCTTTGCCAATCCTCCCCTTTATGTCTGCATCTGAACCTCCTTTTTCGTTGATGATGCTTCTCAGGTACGTGAAGGATTCTACATCTTCCAGAGTTTCACCATCAAGAGTGATTGGATTGCTGTTCTCCCCGTTGCATTCGAGGACCTTGGTTTTCTACTTGTGTATGCTGAGGCCTACTGATGCAGAGACTGCTGCTACACTGGCTGTCTCTATCTGCATTTGTTCGTGTGTATGCGAGAGGAGGGCTAGGTCATCTGCGAAGTCCAAATCGTCTAATTGGTTCCGAGCTGTCCATTGTATTCCGTGTTTTCCTTCAGATGTCGAGGTCCTCATAATCCAGTCGACCACCAGAAGAAAGAGGAACAAAGGAGAAACAAAGCCGAGTTCCTTGAAAAAAAGATGAATGATAAATCATTGAAATCCTATTCAACCTTTTTTGTTTTAAAATATAAGACAAAGGTTGTGTTTCTAAAGCACTTTCTAAATTATCATTATTATTATTATTGCAATTTTTTATTACAATTTATTGATTTTTCAAGGTATTCACTATTATTACAGTGCTTTCTATCGACATGTGTTATGAAATGTACTTTTACGTAAATCAAATAGAGAGGGGAAATTTTCGAAAACTTTAATCAATAAATTGACAAATATTATATCTATACTACTGATATCTATTATAAGTTTGGTAAAAAACAAGAACTAAGAATAATATATTTTCTTTTTAACATGAAAGAACTAAATGATTAGTGTACGTTTAAACAAAGTGATAATAAAAAAGAATGCAGGTTAAAAAAATAATAAGTTTTGACAAGCCAGTAAAAAAATATAGTTAAAATAGATTATTAAATGATGTAGAATCTGATTAAAATTGTTTAGGTATATTGTATTCTAACTTACGAGTTGAAATATTATCCGGACTGAGACTAAATTTTAGATGTAGAAATGAAAAAATGCAGTTCAAAGAGTAGTGAGCTTCAGTTAAGTCAGTTATTAAGTCAGCTACAACGTAGCTGTCATACCTTATTAGCACATCAAGATCAACACCGGATTCATAGAAGCAGTTACTTCACTGGTAGTAATATATAAAAAAGAGATTGTGTATAAGGATATGATACAGGAAGAAAGAATTAGTTGATAGAAAGAAAGATATAAAATAATTTTATTCTCATAATTTAAGAGAAGACAAAGACTATATACAGTTGCGTTATTGTGATCGATTCTGAGCTATGTCACCCAAAGTCTCCATCCATTGGTTATGATAGTCACGGTGACCTTAATCAAGTAGTCTGCATTTACTAACGTAGCTTAGACTAGAAGTGAGTGACTTCAAGCAATGATGCCATGTTTTGTTAAGTTCATACCCCTCAACCCAGTCAAACTAAAGCACTATCCTGTGAAAGTATATACAGAACACAATATTTAATCAAAGCTGATGTGAATTATTTTATAAAACACATATCAGTCGTAGTTATTTTGTAAAGTTATATATATATATATATAGTCCACAATTGTCCTCTTTTTATAGATTATTTCATAGTTTCCATAAGAAATTAATAATGTTCTGATAATATCCAAAGTCAATAAGTATTGAATAAAAGAGAGTTAGTGTTAAAATGAAATTCACAACAATATTTATTTCATATCCACTAGATACGTTTTTGTATAGACACGTTATTTAGAATAATAAAATGAAATACACTTGATAAGTAGTTAAATCTACCTTAAATTCTTTTATATATTTTAATGAAATTCCAATGGACTATTATATATTGGTTAAATATTTTTAAGTATACCATATATTGATTTTCATTGTTTGTGAGTGAATTTTGACCCATTCGATATATTTCATTTGTATCTATAGTGATACTAAACAAAATGTATGTAGACTATATTCGAAGAAAAAAGGAATATGCAACAACTATATGATATTAGAGATAAGATTTTGACTTTGTAAACTGTTTTGTTTAATTTTGAAAAAGACGTTTTTCTTTAAAAACAAATTATTTGACCAACAATCATAATAAAACATAGTTATATCATATTTGATGGTTGCATGATATTTAGAAATAAATTTAATTAGTGTATTAAATATTAATCTTAGACTGTCACCAGAGATATTATTTATAGCCACTAAAAAAGAGTTTAAATGGTTTGAATTATTTTCCCTGGTTAGCGTTTTTCTTTAGCAAGTTAGTTTTCTACGGAATGGGTTCACTAACTCCATGCCCAACTCTCCTCCTTTAACCGGGCTTGAGACCGGCAGTGGCTCCAGGGGGGCTCCAGGCGGAGTAAGGGCAACATATCTACAATTGAAGAACACCTGGAACTCAGAACAACTGTTAAACAACATCAAAGTCGGAATTCGCAATACAAATGTCACGACAGTTCTACTGTTTGGGGAAGAAACTTAGAGAACTACGAACGCCATCAAGCTATACAAGTGTTTATTAACAAGTGTCTACGCATTATACTTCGAATCTGTTGACCAGACACTACTAACAACAGTCTGTTGAGGGGGAGAATAAGCCAGATCTCAGCAGAGGAAGAAATCAAGAAGAAGCACTGGAACTGAAACACACAACTGTGTTACAAGACGAACCCTCAATTGGAGTCCTGAAGGTCAAAGGAGGAGAGGAAGATCAAAGAACACATAACGCCGAGAAACGGAGACAGACATGAGATGAATGAACAAAAATTGGATAGAACTGGAAAGAAAGGCTCAGGACAGAGCGGGTTGGAGAATGCTGGTCGTCGGCCTATGCTCTATTGGGGGTAACAGGCGTAAGTAAGTAAATGAATAAACTAAAAGGAATTTTAAATATTACACTAATCTCTGTAATTGAATACTTTAGGATAAATATATGTCATACTAAAATGGGAATATAACTTATTAAAACTATAAGTGGAGAGTAGAATGATCCTTTTTTCTCTTGAAAGGAAATTTTTATAGTATACCGAAACTAGACTAAACCAATATACATTCAAGGGACCAGTTAGCTGTAGTTTGTCGAAAAATTTCTCTTCATGTCTAAACTTCATTGGTGATTTCATTCAGTTTTCACTATTCTCCAATCTTTAGCTAGTTTTCATATATGTGTATTTTCAGATTCCCTTATATATGCCGAATAAAAATGAATAATATTACAGAAAAAAGCCTTTATGATAATGATTTGTTATTAATCTGTAGTAAATCAATCTATCTGTGATTTTTATTTACTACTATGATCAAATTATCTAACATGTTGAAATAGAAACGTTTGATACTATGCAGTCTACCCAGGGATTAAAATTTTAGTTTTTCAACTTAACTTCCATTAAATAACATTAACTTTTATTCGATCTATTGTTTATTGTGTTCCTAACACATAACAGTTGTTCAATATTCATGTAAGTTTCAATTCGCTCATATATACTGTCTTAGTTTAATGATTCCAGAGAGTTCAGTTTTCCTTTAGTATGAACACATCAATAAACATGTCTGAAAGTAGTACAAGCCTCATTTACTGATCTATTCATTGATTGAAAATAATGATATTTAATGTTTAGAGTCCAATTAAATGAGCATTCTATTCAATATGAAATCAAATGAAGTATTACTTGTTTTATTTTAATCGAACTTGTATTGTGGTGTGAATACATTCTAGGGAAAAACACCAAACTAAGACGAAACAACTGTTTCATAATAACTCATTTTCAATTAATTCTGTGATTAATGTAGATTCTTTACAAAAACTGTTTGTCTACTTTGTTGTTTAGCTTATTCTTTGCCCCATGTTTATTGATCTTGTCAAAAACAAATTCTACAAAAGGTCAAATGAAAATTTATTTAGAGAATAGAATGATCTTTCTAGATACTTACTTACTTACTTTCGCCTGTTACTCCCAATGGAGCATAGGCCGCTGACCAGCATTCTCCAACCCACTCTGTCCTGGGCCTTCTTTTCTAGTTCCATCCAATTCTTGTTCATTTTCCTCATGTCTATCTTCATTTCTCGGCGTAATGTGTTCTTTGGTCTTCCTCTTTTCCTTTGGCCTTCAGGATTCCATGTGAGGGCTTGTCTTGTGACGCATTCGGGTGCTTTCCTCAATGTGTGTCCTATCCACTTCCAGCGCTTCTTCCTGATTTCTTCCTCCACTGGGATCTGGTTTGTTCTCTCCCACAGTACGTTGTTGCTAATAGTGTCCGGCCAATGGATCTGAAGTATTTTGCGTAGACAATTGTTAATAAACACCTGTATTTTCTGGATGATGGCTTTCGTAGTTCTCCAGGTTTCTGCCCCATACAGTAGAACTGTCTTGACATTTGTATTGAAAATCCTGACCTTGGTGTTGGTTGACAGTTGCTTTGAGTTCCAGATGTTCCTCAGTTGTAAATATGCTGCTCTTGCTTTGCCGATCCGCGCCATCACATCTGCATCAGATCTACCCTGTTCATCAATGATGCTGCCCAAATACGTAAAGGTTTTTACATCTTCCAAATCTTCTCCGTCAATTGTGATTGGATTGGTGCATTCTGTGTTGTATCGGAGAATCCTGCTTTTCCCTTTGTGTATATTGAGACCTACCGGATCTTTCTAGATAAACAATCCTTAGTTTAAAAAAAACAAAACAAACAACTCTGTTCTTCAAATCACAAGTTTTCTTACCCATTTTATTAATTGTCTTGAATTGTGAAATCATATTGTTTACTTTCCTTCAGAAGATTTTTCAAAACATTTTTGAATTATTGTTCTTTATTGATTATTTATTATTTAAAAGTTTGATTATTTACAAACCTTTCTGTCTACATGACCAAAATGATAAATAAACAGTAAGTGTATGTACCTCCATGAAAAATAATTATGATTTACTAGTCTTAGAACATGAATATCTGGGTATATGAGTATTCATTGTTTGAATTATCTGAACTCAATGACAAGTACTTCATATGAATTTATAAATATTTGCAGCAAAAGGTTCATAGTCAATAGATAAATAATTAATAATCTTCAGTTTAAGGGGTGTGGAGATTGTTAAGTTTTTGATTAGGATCATGAACCGATTGATGTTAGGCCACCATTGAAAACCTGGAAGCGCTGGACAGCCGTTTTGTCCTATTATGGGACTCCTCAGTAGTGCACATCCACATTAAGACCGTTGGATGCCAGCTCAGTTGTCCAGTAGGTTAAGCGTTCGCGCACGAGAGTGAAGGCCATGGGTTCGAATCCCGCGAGCGGGATCGTGGACGCACTGCTGAGGAGTCCCATAATAAGACGAAACGGCCGTCAAAGGCCTCCTGGTTTTTGAATGGTAGCCTAACATCAATCGGTTCATGATCTTAATCAAAAATTAATAATCTACTAGACGTCCTTTTATTAGGTTGTTCCTTACTGTTTCGTTCGTTATACACTTGATCTCCTTAATGCGTTTGTCAAAGTTATAATTGTTTTTCCGAAATGCATTTTTCGTATTAAAATTTAAGAAATCTATACTAAATATAATTATTCATTCGAGTGGTATTTCCGTGAATTCATTTCATTTCTGACTACATATTTCATACAGTGAAAATCTTTCGAACCCAAATAGTTATACTGTAGATTTCTGTAGACTACCTTGATTATATTTTTAGACGACTACGTAGTGAATGAGTCTCAGTTGGAGGAAACCAATTGATTACTGAATACAATATTACACAGTTCCTTAGCAAAATATGAAAATCACAAACTAAATACGTCATTTGCATATCTACTTTGCATTGTTATTTCGATAGCTCACCGATTTATTTTATGTTCTCTTTAATCCAATCTTTTGCTGCCAATCATCCCACTTCCGATTGCGGCTGCATGCTACTTATATCTGTCAGTATAGGCAGCATACACCACAACTACGAGATTGTTGATGCTATGAAATGTAACGTTTATATGAAGAAAAAAACTGAATTTTCACCCATATGTGCTACTGTTCAGTAAATAGAGGTTAAAACTCATAGAAAATACATGAAATTACGTCAAGTGAGAAGGTGATGAAAAAATTCAGTTTGAAAAGCATAATTCCTACTACTATAAATAAGTGGGTTTCAACGAACAAATGTATCAACTCAGAAGAGGTTACACACGATAAACAGTTCACCCTCTTTCTCATATGGGATACAACTCAGAACCCTCTTAGTTATCTGATGGGTTTATATGCTTATGAGTAAAATACACAACTCACATGAACGTTTTGTGATAAATCACTTTCTAAGCATTGACAAGAATTGCTGTACACTAAAAATTCTTTGGCAGAAAGATGTATTTCCTTCTTGTTATTTGTTCCTTTTAAAAGTCAAAAGTAATAAGGAATTATAATATAACAGTTTTACTTTGTTAATATTACATTTTCTATGAAGAGTAAAACTAAAAATGCTAACATTAATTTTTAAAAAAATATTACCAGATATTGTAAAAACAGTTATTTATATTTTAAATTTTTCTGTTGATTATCTCCAACCCCATTATATTTTAACACGCGATGTCGAGTTACTTAGACTAATGGCCCATTGCTAGCTGAATGATAGAATTTGGTCAGTACTAGAGGATTAGGTTAACAATAAAACGATCTGTGCTTAGTAATCAGTAAGTGTAAATATCTTGGTCATGCAGAAGGTCAGTTGTTTTATGAATTGCTACATGGCAACATCTCAGACTGCATACTAAGATGAGGGATCAGTTCCGTCAAGTTTACAGGTACACCTTGTTGGTGAAAACTAAATCATATGGAAACTAGGCAAAAAAAACAGTGCTTCCCGTTTGAAAGCTCCTTTCACCGATTCTTAAATTATCATTTGTTTACATGATTTTCATCTAGCTGATATCAGTATACTTAGTATCTGGTAAGTAGTATGTATGATTTATTATGGTGACTTCTGAATACAAATCAAGAAAATTTCATTTTATAGAAAGCGTAATAAATAATCTTTGTAAAAATAATTTTATTTTCATTCTTTTATAGGTTTGGTCAGATGCTGGAACTCAAATCTTTTTTAGTTATGCTATTGGTTTAGGAGCTTTATCTGCATTGGGAAGTTATAATCGTTATCATCATAATTCAGTTAGGTAGGTGTGTTCAATAGAAATATACATTACTGTTATTCTTTTGCATTTTGTGGAAGTTTTCTGGTATTATCTGAGTTCTTTGTAACTAGTATTTTTGGTTGGTAGATATTTTCATATTATATGGATTAAGATAAAAAGATTAACAGAAGGAAACTACTGCGAGGTTAACTCGGAAATTCCGATCATCATTAGTAAATTGTATTTTTTCAAAGTAGTTTTCGTTATGAATCGACATACGCTGGGGTAATCGGGAAAAATAAGAAAGCACTAGATAGCTATTATGTCCTTGTATGGAACACGTCATCAATTTTACTTTTAGTAATATGTATCTTTGACAAAAAGCAGTTGATAAATTTAATGAATTCCACTGAGACCCCATAGTACTATCTTGGATCAGGTTATTTTGAAAAGAAATGCTTTTATTAGAATTTCATTGATGAAATAAAGTGTCCAGAGAATTCAAATTAGTCTTAATTTCATTTCATTACTTAACTTTTTATTTATCACAACACTTTGAAACTTAATAGTCAGTTCTACATTTAGTACATGAAACCGAGTAGTCATAGGAAAACAAGACACAAAATGTAAATTTAATTGTACTTGTTTTAAATCTATCAAATGAAAATTGGAGTTTTTAAAAGATAGTGTATAATTCAATATAACCATTTAAATAAGGAAAGATTATTTGAACTGATAACAGGCAATGTACATTGTTACTGTTCATTCAATTTAACTCTTATTGAAGGTATTATAAGGTTTCAATATGGAACTGACTAGTGTTTAATTTTTTTATCATATTTCCCTTTATAAACAACGAATAATCACTAGCTGCCCACAAGTATACTATAAAGATTATGATACGAACTGTTTTCATCAAGATTAAGAACGAAACTGTTTATATAAAGAAAGATAAATCGTCAATTATAAAAAAAAGAAACCAGAGGATGGTTGATAATTAAAAAATGAAAGTAGGTTAATGAGCACTGAGAATTAAATAGACTAAATAAAGATAAGCGAATCTAAAACAAAACCGAAGGAAAAAGTAAAACAATAAGATAAATCGTCAAAAAGTTGAAGATTAGAGTTGTTTTTTAAATTAGTGAATAAAAATGTAAGCTCAAAATTGCTACTGTATCACATGACATTTCGAATGGTTTCATTGGTCTTTGTAGAGTATCTTAAAAGATCTTCTTAATGAGTTGGATTTTTTCAACTTAATATATCTAATAGAATAAATACAAACTGAGTTATTCTTTCTACTAAACTATCACACTAGATCTTAAACATTCATTCTTATACGTAAGGATTATTAGTGAATGATGATAAAATTTTACATCATTAAAACGTGTGAATTGAATGCAGAATAATGAATGGATGCAATTATATAATGAAGCCAAGTGTTTGACGTTTTTGTGACAAGATCATTAACTTAAATCTCAAATAAACCAATATATAAGCTCAGGTCACCAGCTAGAAAAACAGATTCTTAATTTGATAAAATAACGTGGTTGTATATACACAATATTAACATAAATATATTGTAATTTGATGTTATAAACGATTAGACAATATTAATTTTGTGGATTACTCACTTTATAGTGAATTCGAATGCAACTAAATTACTTACTTACGCCTGTTACTCCTCCGTGAAGGAGCATTGGCCGCTCACCAGCACACGCCATCCAACCCTGTCCTGGTCAATCACTCCCAGCTCCTTCCAGTTGTTATTCATCCTTTTCATATCTCCTATTTCCCGACCTAGCCTGTTCTTTGGCCTTCCTCTTTTCCGCTTCCCTTCAGGATTCCATGTTAGGGCTTGTCTCGTGATGCAGTTTGATGATTTGCATAGTAATGTGTATCTTATCCATTTCCATCGTCTTTTCCTAATTTCTTCTCCAACTGAAATTTGGTGTATGCTCTCCCACAGAAGACTGTTGCTGATGGTATCCGGTCAATGGATGTTGAGTATCTTGCGTAGACAACTAATTATAAATACTTGTACCATTTTGATGATGGTTTTAGTAGTTCTCCAAGTTTCAACTCCATACAGGAGAACTGCCCTGACGTTCGTTTAATATTTATGCTCTTTGCATCATGTAAATAGTTGCTTACATCAGGTAATTATACATCAAACCAATTTGTAATCGGTTAGTGAAAGATGTATGAAATACATTTTGATTTAGAATGATGAACCATTCTGTAATATTCAAATAAGAGTAATTTTCCTTTTTATGAAATGAATCTACCCTTTTTTTAAAAAAAACAAACAACTTAATAAATTCATTTTACTGTAACCATTTCATCTCATTTATTTTTTTTGTTAACATTTAGAGATTGTCTTTTATTTGCTGGTGCAAATACATTTACAAGTTTATTGGCTGGTTTTGTTATATTTGCAACACTTGGCAATATGTCTTATATATCCAATGTCCCAATACATTTAATTGCAGAATCAGGACCAGGTTTAGCATTTATTATTTATCCAAAAGCATTAGGAACATTGCCTGGTAGTCCTATTTGGTCATTTTGTTTTTTTATTATGATTATACTATTGGGAATTGATAGTATGGTTAGTGAATTTGTTCATTATAATTTTTTTTTTAAATTAAATAAAATGACTATTAATTAAAATGTTTACATTATTTGTCATTATTATCAGATTATACAAATGAATATGGTAAAATGCATACAATTATAACTGAAGGAATAATTAAGCATTGAATACTTGTGTTTTTTCTAAAGAATTTTCAAATATTTTTATGAAAATAATTAGTAAATAAATGTTTATCCTGTCAAATGTTTTGATGAACGAATGGGATTAAAAAACATAATCTACAATTTGAAGAAACATGAGAGTAGTTCTTTTTTTTATTGGGTACCACCACTTACACATATTTATTTATTTACGCCTGTTACTCCTCGTGAAGGAGAATAGGTCGCCCACCAACACACACCATCCAACCTTGTTCTGGTCAATCACTTCCAGCTCTTTCCAGTTGTTATTCATCTTTTTCATATCTGCTTCTATTTCTCGACGTGATATATTCTTTGGGGTTCCACTTTTCGGCTTCCCTTCAAGATTCCAGGTTAGGGCTTGCCTCGTGAACTTACACATACTTGAAACAATTATATCTAAAATATAATGGTACCTATCATTATTTGTAAAAGACATGTAAATAAATATATATAACAATTAGTCCCTTTAATAAATTTCGATAATGCAATGAGAAGAAAAAGTTTATCAGAATTATGTGATACATTTGCGCAATATATTTCGAACAATCTGATCACACATATACTTGTTAAGATATTTTATGTCTTATATATATATATATATATATATACTAAGGGAACTTACTTAATACTGCTTGTTCAAATCATATTCAATGGGGTCATTTTCTATTGATTTCTCATTCTACAGTTTAGTTTGTGGTTAGTTCTTCGTAAAGAACTTCACAGATTTTATATGATTTGAAGTTATGATCATCAATTATGGTTTTATAAACTACAGATGTAACATTATTTTTAGTACTACTATAATGTTTACATTTTTTTTCGTGCAATCAGATCCTTTGATGGTGATCTAGCATACATGGACTCATGAATTCAACTATTAAAATTTAGAGAGAGCAGGAACGTTTTCTCATCAGTTGTATTCAATCTAAATTGCAATTATTAACATAAATATGGTTATTAACAAATGTTTAACATACTTTAGTTCGTGAAGTTTAGATAGATGTTTAAAGCGTAACCGAGATCATAATAATCCGAAGAATAGGGACACAAAGCGTACGAATAAATATAGTTAAGATCTCTCTATGTGTGTGTAGCAATGCACATTAAAATAGGTATTACGGTTGCCAATAATCATAATCAAAATAAAAGAGGTTTTTATTCTTTCGTCTTCTAATCTTCATCTCTTACACAATCTGATTGATGTACACATATTTGTATATTTTATCGTGTTGAGTGATTACCTAATCACTTATTAATTTCATCACCTTTACATAACATTTGAATTATTACTTCCCAACATTTTAATACACATCGATCTTAACTATACGTATTCAGACACTTTGTATCCCTATTCTTCGGATCATTATGATTTTGGCTACGATTTATCCATCTATCTTAACTTCACGAACTAAAGTATGTTAAATATTTGTTGATAACCATATTTATATTATAACTTTAGGTTGTATGCAACTGATGAGAAACTGTGAAATAAAATAATGAATCCAATTAATGATTTTGCAAACTTTGTTGTTCTTGCTCTGTTTGAAAACATAAGTATTGGGAAAAATGAAAGATAAAATTATATCATTCCAATATGAAGACATAAATTATTAGTGGATAACACGTATAGTGTTTGAAGCATCAAGTACCGGTTTCAGGTCTCAATGTGAACATCAAGACTGGGATGCAAGTACACTCAGTTGTGTACAGGTCCTAACCAGGACTGTCAGCCACGAATTTACCTATACTCTTGATTAATAGTATTCCGGATAATACCTTATAGAAAATATTGTTGAACATATATAATTAAGCGATTAAACTAAAGTAATTCATGAAAATGATCGTAAACTAATTAGGTAAAACGATCCAGAATGACTATAATTTTAAAACTTTGTCATTGTGAAGACAGAACTCATTTGAAAAGTTAAGCTCTTTCCTATAGCTTCTCAGATAACTGAGAAAATCGATTCGATTAATATCAAGCTTTCATCAACATAATTAAATTTCAACAGTTGAGATCATAAGTCAATTGAAGCTAGACCACAATGGAGAACCTAGAAGCACTGGATGGTCGTTTCATCCTATAGCGGGATTCCTTAGTAGTTCGCATCCACGACTCCGCCTTGCGGGATTCAAACCCACGACCTATCGGTCTCGCGCGCGATCCCTTGACCACTAGAACACAGAGTCGGCATCCAACGGTGTTAGTGTCTAATTGATAGGTCTTGGGTTCGAATCCCGCGAGGCGGGGTCATGGCTGCGCACTATTGAGGAGTCTCACAATAGGACGAGATGGCTGTGTAGTGCTTCCAGGTTTTCGATTGTGGTTTAGCTTCAATTGACTCATGATCCCAACTATTGAAATTACTACAATCTCCCCAAAATCCCTTCTGATAATAATTAAATTTATATATACATTAATCATAAAAACCTTAGTCATGCTCACTTATTATCTTTACGACTGTTGTTGATTAAGAGTTTGTTAGCTGTGTTAAGGTTTTATCTAAAGAGATATTTATTTTGATTTTTCTTATTAACATAATTAAATAGTTGTAGGGATGTTAGGTTTCATTGCTAATGAATAAACTTTTGAATATAAACCTAAAAAATAAATTGACTGAAAATGTACTTTAGATTAGATTTATGTCAAAATCTATATTGGTAAAATCTTGATAAGATGTATGCAACCTAAGAGACAAATATCTGTCAAGTTAGGAATTTATGAAAACATGTTAACTTTGATAAAATGACGTCAACATTTAAATAAAATTAAATACAACTGATTAAAGAATGTCTGCCTTTTTAGAAAAATGTATTTCAGTAAGTTACAAGCAATCATCAGAATGCTCTGGATCTACTACTAATCCCTTTTTTTAAACCTACAAAGCCATAACATCTAATCGACTACACATAAGATAATTCCGTATAACTGAAGTTCGATGCATTAAAGAAGACTTTAAATGTTTATGTAATACTAAATGTGAAATTACATTAAGAAGGATGTGTATTTCATTGAATTAATCTGTTTACACATGAATGCATTTCTTGTATGGTTATTACTAAAACATTGTTTATTAGCCCAAATTCACTAAATTCATTTATTGTTCAGATGATTTCAGTACGTGTCAAAAGTAGTCTTCAAAATAAAATAATATTTGTAAATCACTTAAATTTACTGTATTCAAAACATAATAAAGAAAATCCGTTCTGCAAAAATGTCTTCTATAAAATCTACCCTATTATATTGACCATCATTAGAAACTGTGATAACTTTAAACTAGCAACATAAGGGTTTTAAAACCCGATGAAAGTTTTATTCATGTAAACAAAACAAACAAAAAAAGAACTAATAACAACTTGTAAGAAAATAAAAACAATAAGAAACGTATCATAAACCGGAAATGATTAAGTTGTTTACGAATTTCAATTGTATAGTTGGAATGTTTACTCGATAAGAAATGTTAATACTACTCACAGAGTAGAAACTATAATTATAAAGATTTCAAAGTTTTATTTGTAGTCATAAAGAAATTAAACAAAAATCAATTTTTCTACATTCATAGGGATTAATTAAAATTAAACGGATATTAAAAACATAATATCCCCGATCTATATTATTATTATTATTAGTTTGTATCTTTGCTAAAGTATCTTTGCTTTAAAATTAGCTTCAACGGAATAACATGATTAGATAAAAAAAAAGACAAAAGTTCAAATACTGTATTGTTAATAGATGTATGTTTTTTCACTAATTTCTATAAATTTTAATGCTTAAGGTCATGAAGAAAGTTCACTTTCGAATTCATGATAAATCACTGTTCCAAGATTAAGATTTACATTATAACTTTTACATACGTGTTCAAATGTACAGGATTAATTTTGGCCTTTTATAAAATAATCCTTCCTTAATGATTCTTTTTTCTTTTAAATGCTGAGGTTTGTTTTTATGACTCTTGTAATAAATCAATAAATTGTTTTCTTTATGTATTTCTATGTTAAATATTTTAGTTTGGTGGAGTTGAAGGTTTTGTTGCTGCAATCTCCGATTACTTACCTCAAGTGATATTAAATCCATGGTATCGAGTTAGTTTTGTTGCAGCCACATGTATTATATCTTATGGTATTGGATTATTTATGGTGACTAATGTAAGTAATTTTTCAGCTATTGAGTATTATTAGAATATCTATACGTGTTTAATCATTCTGTACACGTAGTGATCCGTTATATTTTGAAATGTTTAGAAATTCATGTTTCAACTTTGTCGTATAGTTCAAAACATTTAGTATATATATATACCAGAAATTTGTGTTTGTTAGTGAAGAATAGTGAAAATCAGTTTTAAGATTCATCGCATACAACAGCCTGTTATTTATTTCTGACAGATATATTTCTCTAAATGAATATGATTATTCACTATGATATGTATTTTATGATACTGTTACACAAAACCATATGTGAGATTGTAAATATTTATGTTAAATAAAACATATTGAGAAGAAAACATTTATATTATACATATTATCTGTGAGTAAACAAGATATAGACGAAGTTTGAATAAGATTTAGACCATTACCTTATTATTTGAAGTTACAAAACTAGTAAACATCAGTAAGCTTCGATGAGTTGATTGTAAGTTCGTTGATTATATAATATATAGTGTGAATGTTTCCGTACATAAATTGACATTGTATTCTATTGAACTTTGTTGAAAACCATCGTAAAAATACGATGTACTAGGCAATTAAAAGATTTAACTGACGGTTTTTCTATATATCGAAATTGAGTTAATTGTGACGTGAATAATAACTAATTATCAATTTATACTTAATAGTAGAAGAAATTTAGCTAAGGATGAGATAGATATAGAAACGAAACAATAAGTCATTTGCATTGGTTGTTTGAATCTTCCCATTCGTTTTTAGAACTGTAATTGATCAGTCTGTTTTAGGAATATACACATCCTAAATTTCAACCTATTTCATTAGCTAGTGGTTATTTGGACTCAGTAGCTCAGTGGATAGTGCGATAGCATGTGAAGCAAACGGTACAGGGTTCAATTTTCGGGGTAAACATCAACCTCGGTATGTAGGTGCATCCAACTGACGAATAAAAAATAGCGCAAAACGCGCGTCCTGTATTCCATTCGTATCATTTATTCATCTCTGCTGATAAAACGGTAATAGTTTGAAAAAATCCACTACATATATAAATAAAAGCAGTCCGGTACTATTAAATAGCAGTTAGTAAATTAGATGACTAGTGTTTTGAGTCGGCAATTAAATTATTCTTCCATAAGTGTAAAGATTATTCTAAGCGAAAACTGAGTTTCTCTATTCTCATTATGTTTTTACTCTGTTAGTGTCTTTTGGCAGTTGAGAATCCATTGAGAATATGAGATGTGTTATAAATCCTCCGAAAAAAACATTACTCAGATCAATAATATAGTTTGGCATAATACTTCATCTGTCGAAATACATATATACCTTGAATATTTTATCTTAGTACGTTGTTTCAGTACATGTTTCTGTATGGTTAGGATTAGAAACTATGATATTTACGCATATAAGTAATTTATTTTGATTGATAGATAAACCCAATTTGTTTACTATTCTGTTGGATGTGATTCATCTCAACAATATCAAGCATTAATTAATTGAATTAAGCCAGAACAACCATTGATGCAGAATAATATGCATTCTTTATATTTCGTGGTTTCTAATGAACTGCTTACAACTACATAAGTACTGAAAGTTACCATTGAGGTAATATATAATGTGAAACAATTGACATAAATGAACGAAAAGAATTAGAATGACAATGGCTACCAATTTACATTCACGCTCCAAGGCACATACATACGTTGGAAGAACAGATTAAAGAGTGCATGTTCTCATTTCCGAGCAAGTTCCCAAATTCTTGATAGGGATAGACAAAATGGCTCTAAAGATTGCAAGAGCTCGGCATTCACTTGATACCGGACATATCATTGACACTCCAAAAGCCTTTAAAATTGTCAACACAAAAAAGAACGCAGCGTCTTTTCGATTTGCCGAAGCAATAGCAATAAAAACATTTAGACCTGACCTATGTATGCAGAAAGAGACAGTAACTTATTTTTGTCATCATCATTATTTTTTGTGTGTTTATTTTGTCATATGGTCTTATATAACAAACACCAAAACCATCCCTTTACTACTATGTTTTCATTCACTTAATTCTGTCAACTAATGTAAACTCTTCAAATCCTATTTCGCTTATTCCGTAACCCATTATGTCAATCTTAAGTTCCAGTTCATAAACTCAAAATTATCACACAATCCATTTTGTGTTTCTGCGGAACTCATTTGATTGATACATCAACCGCCTCTTATGTTTCTAACTCCAACTCTATATGTCCTCTAAACTGTTCTGTTGTGACGCAGTTACTCATTAAAGACAGTGGTGAACGGTGGCGCAATGTCACGGATTGGCCAAAATTAGACACCATTACCGTCGAATGCCAGCTCAAAGGTCTAGGAATCAAGCGTTCGTGCGCGAGACCGGAGGTCCTGTGTTCGAGCTCAGAGTGTGGGATCGTGGATACGCACTGCAGAGGAGTCCCATACTGGGACGAGACGGCCGTCTGATGCTTCCAGGTTTCCAACGGTGGTCTGATATTGTGCTAGTCATGATATCAATCTAAACTCAATAATCTCCATAACCCTATACTGATATATATATATATATATATATATATATATATATATATATATATATATCTTTAGTGAGAGTTGTTACTGATAACCTTTTCGTTCATTTATGTCAATTGTTTCACATTATATATTACCTCAATGGTAACTTTCAGTACTTATGTAGTTTTAAGCAGTTGATTAGAAACCACGAAATATAAAGCATTCATATTATTCTGCATCAATGTTTGTTCTGGCTTTATTCACATTCATAAAGGGTACAAACTGTATAAAATTAATTAATCGATTCAACGATGGTTAACATTGACCATTATATTTTCCGACTCATTATTACTGTTCTTTTCTTTTTCTAACGAAAACAATCCATAACTTTCATCTCAATGATTTTAAGCCATTAAGGTTGATTAAAACCCTTTGAAATGAAACGAATTTATTACAATGGAAATTTTGTTAGTTTCTGTTCTGGTTAAAACAGCGAATAATTTGTAGTAGTATGACTTAAAAAATTCATTAAAGAATGGCTGGTAAAACGTTTATTTACCTTTCATAAGCTTTTAATTAGAAAGTCACGATTAGTGATGTTCAATCTGATACGAAATGAGAAATTCGTCAACGGAAGTACATGATAATGACGATGATGATCATGCAATATTAACGATTGACTGTATTTAAATTTGAGAAATAATTAATTCAAACCTAATAGTCTAAGCGAAACGTATAATGTTATGAACGCGTCTAATATGGAAGAATCAAGCAAAGCTTAGACAGTTGTCTAGCGTTCTCTAGATATCAACAAATGTTTATCAAATACCATTCTAAAATGTTAACTATCTTCAAACTGATCTTTTATCTTAATAAAGTACTTTCCTTGAGTCATTCATAAAGATAAAACTTACACATAATACAAAGACAACTTAAATATTTACAGACCATTTGTCAAATATTTAAAGTATGCAGGGTTATTGATTATACATGTTATTTCAGCTGAATGATCTGTAATTTATTTGTATCGTTAGTACATTGGCGATTATTTGTCTTAATAATTTAAGGTGCGCTTAATAACAAATATGAAAATAGTTATTGTTATGTTAGTAGTATTGTAGTGAAGGAGAACATATCTGGGGACAACCAAATGTAGTATACACCACAGTATTACTAAAAAATGAGAAGCATTGTGTACATATGACTTTCTTTCTAAAAAAAGAGATTCATTTTTCTTATGTGTCTCTTGGCTAATGTCGGTTTGCTTTTTCATAACACATTCCTATATGTGAATTACAGAAGGAAGAGTTTTATATCAGAATTGTGTATTTAAGACATTTAAAAAGATATGTTAGTTTTAAATCATTCTCATCAAATTTATATCCCGCATAATCATGGGTGTATTGAAATTAAAACATGATACACTGAATAGGTGATCAACGAATAATTTCCACTGAAAATAAAATCTTTCAAATTAATTCTGATATGGCATAACATATGTAGACTATATGAGTAGATTATCTGCGTATATCTATATCTGTCTAACAATATTATGCAAGGAAACTGACCAAATCATCATGTTAATAATCAGCACTTTACCTGATCAAATTCAAACAATCTCAAAAGTTGATGATTATGTTCATGAGTAGAGATGGATCCGAGAGTTGAGGGGACATCAAATATTGGGTGCAGGTATATCCAGTTGCCGAGTCCCAAATAGGACAAAACGCGCGTCCTGGATTTCACTGCTAGCCACCATCCACTTCTGCTTATAATGCTCGTGAGTTAGGGCAATATCAAGACAATCTGTACAGGATTCATATATGCGAATAACAGACCGATCAATCGTAGCCCTAAACGTCAACGAAAACTTTCAATCAGCCAATACAAAGTTGGAACACTTTCATGCTTTAGCAATTTCATCCAATATTAGTTTTCATTAAGTGGAAACTTTATTTACATCAATAAAATATACCGACCATAAAATTGAACTTTGGGAATAAAAATGAAAACGCTTCGGAATGTTTTGTTTTTCTCCATTAACTGTAATTAGTTAATTAGGTATGATGTGCCCATTCGTCAAACCAAGGATTTACTATTAAATTGCAAACGTATGGTTTTGCCAATCTTATAAGTATATTTAATTGTTTAGATAAAAATATGAGGTGGCAGTATTGAGGCCAGTTATGTTTAATAACTTACGGAATATATTAGTTTCCTCGAAATTATAAATATTTCATGTTGATGAGTAGTGAATAGCATTTCATATAAGTTCAACTCTTCCTGGAGATTACCTTCTACCAACTTACGTTTAAATATATGAACAAACCAACTGTTTCTCACGCAAACCAATATTTAAGTCAAAAAGTTTACTGGAAATCCGGTTTTATTGTAAGTTACGTAACTTCTAAGTCGATGAATGATACTTTTTAAAAATCAGTTGAAAAAGTTAGCTTATCATTAGGCCGACGTAGTTAATCTCTTCTTAGTTAAAATACATACTTAAAAGAAGAATAACTAATCTTAAGGTTTTACTACAAACAACATGTTTTCATATACAAGCTGATATTCATACCGAAATCCCACTATTGATTTGATAAAAGAAAACTTCACATATGTTATAAATAACCTAGAACTTTACATAGGAATAAGCACCAATGTGCCAAAGTTATCTTCATAGCACGAGAGTGAACATAATATTTGACTGCAAGTTTACCTCAACTGAAAACAACAAAATAACAATTTATGAAGAATTTACTTAATAATTATCTAATGTCTACGGATTAATAATCACCTAGTACTATCTTAGTTCGAGTTCCATTTTCATCAACTAGATTCTTTACAGATGACCTAGGTTTTTTAAAATATCACCGCGAGACAAGAGATTGTAAATATTGATTGTTCAAAATTCACATACTAACATAATACGCTTTTCAGAGCTTCCTCGGTTTTCAGTTGTTATCTAACTAAAATCAGTTTGTAATATAAACTATACAAATATATAAAGGAAAACCGTACATTCTAATAGCCTAGATGTAGCCTAATACTAAAAGAAAAACCTAAACAATAGCGTATAGGATAATCAAAATAATATTAAACTACATTAATCTTATTCGATTTCTTCTTCTGTATTTTCAATAAGCAAACAGATCAATAAGAAAAATAGTTTATTATTTTTTCCCAGGTAAATCACTTTGCTCAGTATATAAAAAGTTTAAACTTGTGATGAATTACTTCTATTCAATTCATTCTTGTAAAAGAATTATTTTTTCCCCATGATTATTCATTGTATTCTATCTATTTATTACTATGGCTGTTTTGTTTTTTCTTTCGTTTAGGGCGGTATGTACATATTTCAATTATTTGATTATTATTCGGGTAGTCGTATAATTTTATGTGTTACATTTTTGGAATGTATCGTGATTGGCTACATATATGGTAAGATTTTAATATTGAAAAAAATAATGTTGAATTAAATGCATTACCGTTTAGTTTTCAAAGTACGTCAGTTAGTTAGTAACAACGTAGAACTTCGTACGTAGGTACATCAGTTTGAGTTGCCACACCACATTAGCACAGAGATGCAGTTGTTGATTCAAATCCCGTAGTGGTATTTAAAGAGTATAATCCAGTGAAATAAATTTGGAAAGAGAAAAAAAGAGACAAGGAGGATTCAGGAGAACACAAAGAACGGATGCACCTGCGCCATTGCAAACGATTTTGAGCTATGTCATTCAGGGCCTCTAACCATCGGTTGCTATCATCTCGCGGTCCCCAACCAGTTAGTCAACACCTACCAACATGACTCAGTCCACTTGTCAGTGACTTCGTGGATTTGTGCCATAATTTGGTCTGGCCGCCCTTAGCTTTCTTCCAACTTCTACATCATAAAACATCGCACGTCGGGGCAGTCGGTAGTTGGGCATACGTAACACGTGTCCCAGTTATCTCAACTGATGACGTTTCACTACGTCATCAATTGATTCGCCATCCTTACCTAGTACGCGTTTTCTAACAACTGCATTACTAACTCGATGGTCCCAGTATGTACGAGCAATGCTTCGAAGACACCTATGATCGAATACCATTAACCTACGAATATCCTCTACACTTACCGGTCATGTTTCACTGCCATAAAGTAGGACGGAACGAACTGCTGAGCAGTAAATCCGTCCTTTGGTTGATAGACGGATATATCGTGTACGCCATAAATGAGGCAATTTGGCAAAAGCTAGTCGAGCCTTCTGTATCCGTGCTGAGATTTCATCACACACGAGACCACAACTATGTCATGATGAATGTATTGGAAACATACTTGTATTGCTTGAATATGAAACAACAATTGTATTGATTTCAATAATTTATGACACAGTTAGTTATAGTTGTTTATAATATATATATATATATATATATATATATATATATATATATATATATATTATCACACAGCATATAATTGGTTCATGTTACGACATATTGTTTTACATTTACATCTATTTTGAAGCAGTTTTCAATGATAAATGTCAAATATAAAAAAAGTGCTGTTGTATTGTACACGTATAATTAGATTTTCTTATTTGTATTGTTTATTTGTCAGATTAAATATTTTCTATTGTTTATAATTAATTAGATCGATACTTTCTATCATAGAAAATGTTGAAGTAATTTTCCTTAGTAGGAATTATAAATATTGATTATTCTGTTTACCATCAAATTATATACTGAATTATTTGTATACATTTGCTTTAGAAATTACTCCTTTCTACTGTTTGTGTTAATGAATCAACGTGCACACCCTTTGTCTACCTAGTTGGTAGTGATTTTACAAGGCATCATATTTTGACCTCGATAAGTCTGATAAATTTGTATGATTGCTGAATCTCAATAGTGATGCACGTTTTTAGTGTTTCGATGACTTGTTCTAATCTATTTTCAAATTAGTTGTTGATTAGCTAGTGTAAGCAGCAGGGGTACCAGATTGATTACGACAAGAGGTTCAACTGTTTTATTAATTTTATCTTAAAGTTTCACCATAGCTGTAAATAGAAACATAAATATATGCCAAGTAACATTGACAAAAATGTTAAAAATCTAATATGTACAAACCCTAAAATCCCCATGTAAGTATTTGTCTGTTTGTTAACATTTAGTCCCCGTTGTCTGAATCCAAAATCAACTTTCATGAAATATGTATCTTACTTGACTTCGTACATATTCTGTCGACTTATTACGTTTAGAACAATGATTTGTCAAACGTCGTAAACGAGTTGAATGTAGGGTTCATACTCATACTGAAAGTCAGACAAAAACACAAGATATAAGTGTATAATGCACTGGAGTTCTGTAATACAACAATTCAGAGAATAACAAAGTCACTGTTTTTATACATCAAGTGAGAAACATGGAAAGTGGTTGGATATATGGGTACTACTATATACACATATACAAAACATAATCAAACTTATGGGTAGGTGACAACACTGAATATATGAGATAGAGATTAAATCGAAAAATTAGAATAATTCCTTGTTCCGAAGTTCGGAATAAATCAATTGTGTGTTTAGTTGCCAGAATAGCTTTTTGTGGGCACTATTTTATTACTTGACTCGGCTAGTACAAGTACCATTACTTTACACAATTGATATGATGAATAACATAATTTGTAATATAGTTGTTATACGAAAATACACCGCGCAACCATGATGAACTCATTCAGATACATAAGTATAAGATAAAATACCTAGTGAGCTTGTGGTTATTTGCAATAGTCTGAATAACTCATATGATATATCTGAAGACGATAAATTTTAGAAACGTCACTTATCATTAAATTTTACCTTAATAATGCCAACATTAGTATTTAACTCGAAATACAATCTACGAATTTTTCGTCAGACCAAAAACTTAACGTTGTCAGTGATTTTATTATATCACCACTTCAACCTGTATGTTATAGTGGGAGGTTTGTATGGATTATTACTTAGCATGACATTTCACTTATTCGTATTATGTATAAACACTAATGCGCTAAATCTAATTTTATTCTTTGAAAATAAGTCAGTAAATGAGTTACCAGAGGATGATCAATACTGCAATTATTGCTTGTTAAAGATGTAAATTTGATAAAATTGATGATTAATTTTCATATCAACCAAAATATAAAAACTATTTCATTACTTAGAATATAATCATTTATCGCTATTATACAATTTACAGATACTTCAATAATAATAAATATTTCATATTTGTACCTCAGGATTTTGTCAACACTGTAGAATATACCTAGACATAAAATCTGATTATTTGACTTGATCTATACTCGGTACTCTGTTTTGCGTTGATTAAGATATATGTAGTTCTACCTTAAGTATTAATTTTTTTTAATATGCCAAATCTAAAACTAATTGTTTTTTCATTACAAAACATTAATACGCTCTTAACATTTTACAAAACTTTTGTTTTCTTTTAGGATGGAGACGGTTTGCAAATGATATGAAGTCAATGTATGGCTTTTCACTTAAATGGTTTTGTTGTTTATACCTATGCATTATTACTCCATTGTTTACATTTGTAAGTGATGAGATAGATATTTTGACCTCTTTTTACCCTTATATATATATTCATGTCTAAATGTTATATTTGAAGTGACCTTAGCAACTGAAATATAAATATTGTCAACGTTTCACCTGATGAACTAATTCAAACATTTTCAGAATAATAATCAAAATCAAAATTATCAAAGAGTGTATAAGGTTCAATAAAAAAATACCATTATAGGCTTAAATATGGCAAGATCACGTGACAATCTGATGTTCAAATTGTTTATTTGGTTGAAAATTCATGAGTGTATTTGTATGTTTGGATGTTTATTGTTATAAGGAAACCGTGAGAATATGATGTCATTGAGTTCTACTGACGACAAGTTAGTGGTTTTTATTTGTTACAAAACCAACAATCCATATGATTAAAATAAACTAGCTAAGTAGATGTTGAATCAGATCAATGATATTGTTAGTTATGTTGAGAATAATAAGAGTTTTTGAGATGATGGAGAAGATTTGTGGCTCAAATGGATGATTTTAATGGAATTTCGTTCTCTGAGGTGAATGGTTTGGTCATGGAGCTTTTGTCGTTTTTCTGAACGACATCATCTGCATAAACTTCAGGTAGATGCAAAGTGTTCGAATTTCTCCACATATGACTCAGCGTGTTCCGTAGACATCCATTTTGATTGGCTATTGTTGATCTTTAACCTATCACTGTTCACTCTTCCATTTTGATTGTATCTCCTGTTGGTTTGATTCTTGGTCCTCTGAACAAGGGGCATAACGTTGACCACATTTTCAAATTGCTTTCAGTAATGCATTCTACCTATACGATTGTAGCATTATTTGAACTCTTACACTGATTGGTAAATACAGTATCTCAAGTGACGTCTTGTTCGTCATTTACGACAATAAATCAAATGGATGAATAGTTACAGATTCTTCGTGAAGTTTTTTAGTCAACCAGAAAACTATCGATTTGAATGTGATTATTTTTGATAAGACACTTTTATTTGTTAACTCTTCGTTTAATGGATGGTTTTGTCCGCATAATTTTTGCATGAAGAATAGAGTCTGTTTGGTTTGTAATTCGTATACATAAAGTTGATACACCTGATTTGTTATGTAAAATAATAATAATAGGTCACACAAACTTCTTCAGGTATCCTTTTCAACAGTCATATTGTCTGCGTTGATTGATTCTCATTTTTGTCCATGGTATTTATACTTTAGGTTCTGTTTATCTTCAGTGTAATTGTATACGAAGAACTCACATATATGCGAGCTGTCAAACCTGAACCATATCACTTTCCGAAGTGGTCTGTGATATTAGGTTGGATGATGGCCAGTTCAAGTTTGTTCTTCATTCCAGGTGTCATGGTGGCAGAGGTTATAAGAACACCGGGAACATTTCTAGAAGTAAGTTCACTCATGTGAATTATTTTTTAGTAAAATTGTGAGAAACAGATTTTCCTGTTGAAAACTTTGAGGTTTGTGGTGTCGGTTACAATGCCAAACCCACATAACTTATTCTAGCTTCCGGATAGGTCAATCTATTCATTCATCTTGAGTCACATTTCGATCTTGTCACTTATCCAATTTGACTGTTTTTATGTAAACGTGTGTGTGGATTTCTTATCATCACATGTTTGTAACCTATTTTTGTGTAACTAAAAATATCTAGTCACGTTTTATTAAAACGAGTTGGTTTGCATGCCCTCTCCACCGCGCATCATTTTATTGCGTTCTCTTCGTTTCGTTTCTTTTATCGTTTGTTTGGATAAACGAATGTATGAAATACACGTATTCGAAATTTATTCTCGTATTTGACTTACTTAATTCCGTTATTCACTAACGTAATTTAAGTGGATGATAATGTACGAGAATTGGCGACATGTATATTTCAACAATAATCATTCACGCGCTCTGCCTGGAATCAGATCACGGGCGACTAAAAGTTAAATAAATGAGCAATGTGAAATAGTTTGCTACCTAATTTATGTTTGGTGAATAGGAAGAAACATACGCATTGTGTAGTCAGATATTAGATACATAAAAGTTTGTTTACTAGAATGACAGTTAAAGTATTAAGGCATGTTACCTGGTTTTACTGTTAACTGATATAATAAAGCAATGTAATAAACAATTGATATTATCTAATATTATGACAAATAAGGCTTAGAACTTTACACTTAAAGCATTAAAGACTGGTTGATTGGTCTTGGTATTCTGATTGTTCAAAAACTTCATCTGAGTTGATGAATTCTCCTCCAAAAGTTCACGATGTGAAAACATATGACTGAACGAATTGTGTTTGTGTATTTATGTGTAAGATTGACTTACTAATGAATGATATTCGGTGTCAATATGTTTTGTATGAAGGAAAAAAACTTTTCACATGATTTTCATTTAACCGACTCATGTTATCCTCTTTGCTAAAGTCAACATCTCAATATGATTGGATTAGCACAATATAGATTTGATCTGATTTGATTGTTAAGACGCCATATATATTTCCTTAATGATTTTGATTTTGATTATTACCCTAAAGAAGTTCAGACAAATTTGCTGGACGAAACATTGGAATTATTTAAGTTTCAATCTCTGAGACTATTTCAAATATAACTTTCATATATAATAAATGGTTATTGTTAGTAAAATTTTCAGTTGTACAAACTATTTGCCTAAGTTTTACGTGGCCTAAATTCGGTGATGGAGCTCTGAATGTTGTTCGTGGATAAATTTCAGGAAACGATTGATTTTATAAAATTCCATATAAAACTTATTCAATATTACAGACTACTTACAAAAGATTAAAGTAGTAAGATTGACCTTTGGAATAAAATATCTGTTTGAATTGGGTCAATATTAGACGTTTCAAAACATGTTTATATACGAACCAAGAGCGGCTTACATGAACAAACTAAATGAAATGTAATATTGAGGAATTCTAATTCTTTTTCAGAAGTTCTTTTTAGCAAGGCTAAATTGAACATATGACAGTTTGAGTAATTACTCTTTGATGCACTGTTGTTGAACATAATTTAATGATGTAAATACACTTGAGTTTACTTGATGTTCTTAAAAACTGGAGATGATCGTATCCAAATACTCTGTGGACTTGTGAATATCTAGTCGTCTAATATAAAAAATTATAAGGTGAAATTATTCTGTATATGTTATACTATTTAAACCTATATTTATAATTTTATTTTGCAGAGAATAAAATACCTGTGTACACCTCGTCTTACTCAGCATCGTTGTTCTTTAACCAGTCCAAGTGAGTGACATTAAAAACTTAGACCAAAATATCTTTGGAATAATAAAATAAGATTTTTTATGTAGGTTATTGGTGAATAGTGTAGTATTGTTTGCATTAACTAGAGCATATGCTTCTACATAGAAAAACCTATGTACAATTTCATTTGACTGAAAAAACTTCTAATGAAATGTTAACCTCCAATGACTGTATGAAGTCAATTTCATCGTTGAAGTTGAGAATACCTAATGACTGAAGCCACATCACATTGAATAAGTCAACTGTATGCTATTCAGGATGCGTTTTTGAAGCATTTTCATATATGATCAATAGTTTTGTAATTTTTTCCGTCGGGACTTATAATCAGCTGAAAAACAAATAAAAGTCAAGCTGAACTACATCGTTTCTAAGTCCTAATTTCTGGATTCCATACAAGGAATCCTAATGAAAATTTAAAGATGAAAGATAAACGTGATTTTAAAAAAATCTAGAATCGGAATACAGGGTTTCTAATTTTCAGAGGATTTAGTTTACTAGGTGCGATAGTTTATTCATTAAATTTTGACAAGCAGATTTGCAGACAACTAAGTGAATTACCAATCTCCTTGACAATATACTAGAATATAATGTGAGAATCAGAAAATTTATAGAATATTACGTATTCTACAGTACTCACCCATGTTTGTTACAAACGATGAAGTATGAGGAAGACATATTAGCCCGGTATGAAACAAATATCTCCTAAATATATAAAATGAAGTGTTTTTTTCTAGATTACAAAGGCGATAATGAATATATAATAGTTTTGTTCACTCTGAAGAAGTAATTACTTACTTACTTATGCCTGTTAGTCCTCGTAAAGGAGTATAGGCCGACGACCGTCATTCTCCAACACACTCTGTCCTGGGCCTTCGTTTCTAGCTCCATCCAATTCTTGTTCATTCATCTCATGTCTATCTCCATTTCCCGGCGTAATGTGTTCTTTGGTCTTTCCCTCCTCCTTTGACCTTGAGGAATCCAAGTGAGTGCTTTCCTCAACATGTGTCCTAACCACTTCCAGCGCTTCTTCCTGATTTCTTCCTCTGCTGAGATCTGGCTTCTTCTCTCCCACAGTAGGTTGTTGCTGATAGTGTCTGATCAACGGATCCGAAATATTTTGAGTAGACAACAGTTAATAAACACTTGCATGGCTTGGTGGCTTTCGTAGTTCTCCAAGTTTCTGCCCCAAACAATGGAACTGTTTTGACATTTGTGTTGAAAATTTGATGTTGTTTGACGGATAGTTTTTTTGAGTCCCAGATATTCTTGATTTGCTGATCCACTCCTTCACATCTGCATCAGATCCGCAGTGCTCACCAATGATGCTGCCCAGATATGTGAAGGTTTTTACATCTTCCAAATCTTCTCCGTCATGCGTGATTTGACTGATACATATTATCTTGTGTTGGAAAATCTTGCTTTTCCCTTTGTGTATGTTTAGACCTACTGCTATTGAGGCTGCTGCTACACTGGTCGTCTTCTCCTGTATTTGTTGTTGCGCTTGCGAAGTCTAGATCGTCCAGCTGCATCCTAGATGTCTACTGTATCCCGTGCTTCCCTTCAGATGTTGACATCTTCATGATCCAATCGATTATTATTATTATTATTAATAATGGCTTTATTCAATATTATATTTTGGTACAATATAGAATTCTCAGCACAGGGTATTTCAACAAGTTACTTATGCAAACAAAAAATAGTAACAAAGACAAAAAAAAGAGAAATGGTGAGAGTAAGCAACCTTGCCTGACACCGGTCTTTACTTCGAACGACTTTGCTAACTGTCCTCTATGCACGATTTTGCAGTTTAATCCATTGACTATCTTCTGAGGCACGCCGTAGTGTCGAAGAAGTTTCCATAGTGTTGTTCTGTCCATGCTATCAAATGCCTTTTCGTAGTCAATGAAGTTGATGTAGAGTGATTAGATCCATCCAATTGACTGTTCCACAATGATCCGTACTGTTATGACTTGGTCTGTACACGATCGATGCTTACGGAATCCTGCCTGTTGGTCACGAAGTTGGGCATCTACGGAGTCCTTCATTTTGTTTGAAAATACCCTGTTGAAGACTTTTCCTGGTATTGAGAGAAGAGTGATGCCCCTGTAGTTATCACAGTTGGTGAGATCGCTTTTCATTGTTATTTTGATCAGGCGTCCTTCTTTTCATTTTGTTGGTACTTGTTCCTCATCCCAAATCTTATTGAAGAGAATGTGGAGTATCTTTACAGTTACTGCTTCATCTGATTTCAATGCCTCTGCTGGAATGTTGTCGAATCCTGTTGCTTTGCCACTCTTGATTTGTCTGATAGTCATGCTAATCTCTTCAATTGTTGGTGGGCCAACATCGATTGGGAGATCTGTGCGCGCTGCTTCGATGTTGGGTGGGTTCAGTGGGGCTGGTCAATTCAAGAGTTCCTTGAAGTGCTCTACTCACCTGTTTTGCTGTTCTTCAATGCTAGTGATTACCTTGCCCTCCTTGCTTTTCACTGGTCGTTCTGGTTTACGATAATTTCCAGCGAGCTTCTTTGTTGTATCATACAATTGTCTCATGTTTCCTTCTCTTACAACCTTTTCCGCCGTCATTGCCAAATCCTCCACATATTTAATTTTGTTGGTTCTGACACTCCGCTTCAACTACTTGTTTACTTTTGTGTATTCAGCTTGTGTCTTGGCTTTCTGTGCTCTTATTCAGCTGGTATTGATTGCTGCTTTCTTGTTCCTCCTTTCCTGAATCTTATCTAGTATATCAACAGTGATCCACTCCTTGCAGTGGTGCTTCTTGCGGCCTAGGACATCGTAACATGTTGAAGTGATTGCCTCTTTTATTCCTTTCCAATTGCTTCCCATAGTAGTTCCCTCTTCACTGAGTAGATCATTAAATGCCTAGAATCCATTGCCGAGTACTATCTTGAATTTGTGGAGTTTGTCAGTATCCCGAAGTAAGGCCGTATTAAACTTTTGTGATATTGTCCGCCGCGTTGTTCAGTACTTATTGAGTTTTAATTTCATCTTGGCGACCACCAAGTGATGATCTGATGTTATATCAGCTCCTCTCTTGGTTCGCACATCTCCTATCCTCCTCCTGAACTTTTTGTTGATGCAGATATGGTCGATGTGGTTTTGTGTAGTGTGATCCGGTGAAGTCCATGTGGTTTTGTGTATGCGTTTATGTGAGAATATAGTGCCGCCTATGACCAGTTTATTGAAGGCACATATGTTTGCAAATCTCTCACCAATTTATTTCCTTTCTTCCAGTCCGTGTCGTCCCATGATGTCTTCATATCCATTGTTGTCCTTTCCAACCCTGGCATTTAGGTCTTCCATCAGAACGGCCAAGTTCTTTTTTGGGCACTTCTCGACGATTGACTGCAGCCTACCGTAGAATTGGTCTTTCACGTTTTCATTGTAGTCGTTGGTAGGCGGATAGCACTGGATGACGTTCATTGTAATGCCCTCATTCTTTGTTTTGAAGGGGGCTTTGATGATCCTTGGTCCATGAGATTCTCATCCTATAAGTGCCTTTTGTGCTTGTTTGAACAGCATCAATGCAACTCCTTGTATATATGGAGCATTTTCTTCTTCATGGCCAGAGTATAACAGAAGTTCTCCTGAAGCTAGTCGTTGTTGTCCAACTTTCGTCCAATGTGTTTCACTGATCCCAAGCACCTCCAGGTTGTATTTCCTTATTTCTGCAGCAATTTGGAAGACTCTCCCAGTCTCCCACATTGTATGAGCATTCCATGTACCTATATAAATGGTTGCTCCGGTTGTCAGAAGGGGCATCGGTCTCGTGACTTCCGAAGTAACTCGGTTTTCACCATGAGGTGTCATAACTCTTCTAAATGAAGACCTGATTCCCAGGGCAGATTTTAAAAGGTTTGAATAATTTTTTCTGGTTAGCGTATTTTTAGTGAGTTAGTTTCCTACGGGATGGAATCGCTAACTCTATGCCCAACCGTCCTCTTTTAACCGTGCTTGGGACCGGCAGTAGCCCTCAGAGGGACTCCAGGCTGAGTTACTGTGAAGAAGTGGCCTACATTAAATCACGAAACGTCAAAAATGCAATTTTTTACTGATTAGGATACAACAAAAAATATATTTATTATCCAATGCTCAATTTATTTGAAACTATCAAGTCCAACTTTTGCACTGATGCCTATAAATAATATAAATGGTTTTTCTCAACAAATTTTAAAACTGTGGATAATAGTAATGAATATATTTTCTAAAATATTCGAATGATTAGCTTAGTCATAGATCTCCGAAATCTGTGTGCAAATTATCAGTAACTTGATATAGGCCATGTAAATGAATAATAATAATAAATCAAAGAGAAATGTGGCTTTTACTACTCTCCGTTATTATATAACATACTTATACTTATATCCATCTACTGTATTTAATTATTGAAAATATTTCTTTGTATGTGATTCTTTCCGAATTACACATAAAGTCCTGATTCAATTCTCACAGTGAAAGAATATAACGAACGTTTCAGTCATAAGTAGATATTCAAGCTATTTGTTATACATTTTTTATGAATAAACATTGATAATTGTAGCAAGCCTACAGTTTAAACATTCTACTATTTATCGTCATAGTTACCTACGTATATATATATTTTTCAAGAATGTTATACCATGATAACCTGTTGTGTAAGTGTGTATTATTTCACGTTTAAGAAGATTTAGATATTTTTTTTAGTTATTTGTTTTGATGTTAACTGTAACCATGAATTAGTCTGCGTTTCTACTTTTTTTTCTTTCCTTTTTTATAAAAAAATCAATTACAAACACAGATTATCACTTTAATTAATGCAATTAATGTCACAATTAATATAAATCATTGAATTTTGATTAATTAGTCAAGAAATATTGTGCCTGTTACTAAAAATAAAGATCAATCGTTTACAGGTTCGTAGGTGTAGATTAGTAGGAAAACTCGGGAAAAAAATTGCTGTTGGGTACTACTTTGTCTTTTTTTTAATTCATTTCTAGATCATATAAGCCTGTGGTTGAAACTACTCTCAGATTTAGCTTAATTTATGACTTGAGTGAAAATCCACATTAGATTAATTGTGTAGTACATGTGACTTTATAAGTTATAATAAGATAAATTTTACTGTTTGACGAAAAAAATAAATAAGGTTCATTTGATAAGAAGCGACTAGAGGAGTTCAACCATGTCAGGAGTAAGGTAAATGTCCATCGCAGGAAATCAATAAGGGCTACACAACATCAGGTGTGATTGAAGTTATATAGTAACGCGGTTGGATGTCGGCTCAATGGTCTAAATGCTATGCGCTGGTGCAAAAATGCAAGGTCATGGATGCCCATTACTGAGGAGTCCCATACTAGGATACCTAGGCTTCCAGGTTTTAGTGGTGGTCTAAATGAGATCAGTTCTTGATTTAAAAGATAAATATATGTTTGTTTAAAAGTGATCTGTGATTTATTCGTTAATTACTTATATCTTGTACTCTATTAACCTACTCTATCAATTTGATTCAGCTTTAATTGACCCCGAAAATTCGGAGATTCCAGAAAATAATCCCAATGATCATTATGAAGTGAATTCATGTACAACAGAAGAGCAAAACATTGAAGAGGATAATTCAGGGAAAACAAAGAAAAAATTCAAAGTTAGAAATTTCTGTAGATCGTGTATTCGATAGGAAATGAAAATGTTTTTTTTAGCAGAAATAATAATAATGAATAATAATAACAATAACAGATGAAGAAGTTCGCATTCAATATGATTTACAATTTTTTCAGATTTTTCAATTTATGTATATGTCATCATTGATTTTCCTGTTATTTTTAATGAAAAACAATCATAATTGCATATACATGCAGTATCTAAGTGTGTTTATGTATACACCATAATATGTGCATTCCTTAATAATCATGATTAATGTTCACTTTCTTCACCCTTTACTATTGTGCATCAAAGGTATTTCCTTATGCTCTTCTCAATTGAAGTTTGTTTCACAGGTTGAAATTATGAGTCAATGGTGGTCTAGCTTCAACTGATTCATGATTTCAACCTGTGAAATTTACTAAAATCTCCACAAAGCTCATTCTGAAGTTTATTTGTCAAGATAAATATTCATTCACATTAGGATAGAAAAATGTAGAAGCTTGAAGTGAATTCAATCACCTGAAAAAAACACATGAAAGTTAAGGAAATTACTTGATCAATTAATAATGAATTATTTTTGTTGTCTTTCCATTACAATTCCACTTTCTATCTCCCTTCCTCTATGTATCTCTGTTATTTCTTCCTAACTCCCTCCCTCCTTCCCCCCTCTCTCTATTTTTAATTCAATTCATGAATTCATATGGGGAAAAATGAATCATAAAATGGAATTAGCGCTCTTATGTAATTGTAATATTGATTCATTATTTTAATCCTCATGTTTTGTACGTTATTATGTAATAGTTTTTTTTTGTAATTTTCATCTTAGTTATTTCAGACTAATATTTCTTCTTTTCTAATAGATATTTGCCATGTTTTTCTTTTCCATGATTTTTTTTCTCCTTAATATTATTTTACTCATCAAAATTAGTTTAATTACATAAATACATATTCTCTCTTTGTAGTTAGTAACTAACTCAACAATTTTATATCATTATCTCATAATCACTAGCGTTTTATGTAATTACATTATTGAAGAAACAAAATGACCTACACAATAAAACAGATGTTCATTTATCAATGCTTCTTTATAATTTTTCAATTGAAGTTAATGTGATATAAATGTAAATAATGTAATTTAAAGTTAAATCTGAAATAGGATAGTCATTCACTGATCATATTCATTTCAAGTTCAAATCGATTCAATACTAAATTGGGATTCAAATGTTTTGTGATCATTTCGACGTTTAGATTTGTTAGATATAAACTCATATAGCGTAGTAGATTATGGTTCACAAACTTAAAATGAGAGTAGTGTTAATTTCTATCCCGTTTTTGAACTGTTCTATCGGCGATGTTGAATTTTCATAAATATTATTTACAAAGTCTACTAATGATCCTGTCAAGATCACAGGTTATCGAATCTTTGTTAGTTAATGTTAATTCTTCCATAAAAAAGATAACTTTGATAAAAATTTTCCTAATTTTTGCGCGACCTTGGCGTTTGCTGTTTAGTTGATAACGATTTCGGCTTGCCAATCGTTTGTTCCTTAAAGTCATATCTTGTTGGTGGATAGTTTTTTTTCCGTTTTACTTCGACTTATAAAATGTCACTTTTTTCGCACTCCTATCTTCTTCCTAGGTCCCATCGTATTAGGAATAATGATTGCAATGTTGTGTGTTTCAATAGTGTTACTATTGAGTTCACATTAGTTCCTATTTTTATTAAAACAGATCTCAGTCGTGCCTGGTTAGTAAACGCCGGAGATCTAATCTGAACAGAAATATAACAGAATCCCAAAATATTAGAACTAAACTACTCCTTCATATTTAAAATGTCTAAACGAACAAACAACATGAATGAATTGAAGATACCTATCAATAATTCTTGACAGACATGTAAGAGTGATCGATTAACCAGAGATTGATGTCGACTCTGATATATAAATATATGGTTAGTGACACGTTTTGTCCCATTCTCTTTGGGTGAGAAGCTAAGCCATAAGTGTATTGTTTCACAACAAAAGATGTTCAAAATAATAAAAATCAATAGTTATAAGTTATGCGCAATTGTATGATGCAGTTGAAACACAATAATTAACAATATCAGGTGATTAGAGTGAAATAAGTACTAAACTTGCTTTCTAACAGAAATAAGTTTTTAATTTCCTGCTATTCATTAAAAGTTATGTAACTTATAGAATATATATTTATTCTACAAAATAGACTGATCATTAACTGTCTCATTAAAACTATTCGTATTGAATACTCTTATCTATATAATGCAAGATATATCTCTGTAACAAACAATTTATAAGTAGGAAATAGTTTTTACCAGTTATGAAATTATATTATTAATGGGGGCTGGTGGCTGGTGGTGTAATCTAGGACGCGTGTTTCGTCCTATTTGTAACTTGTTCGCTGGATATACCTGCATTCGTTTTGATTTTACTTCCGGGGGTCAAACCCAGTACAATTAACTTCAAACGCCAACACATTACCCACTTAGCTACTGAGTTCTAATAGCCACTAGCTTATGCAATGGGTTAAAGAATCGATTCATTTTTTATTGGTTGTTTTAATCTTCCCACTGATGTTAAGAACTGTATCTATGTCCTAAACTTCAGTGGGAAGATTTAAATAACCAATAAGAAATGAATTCGCATTAATAATGACCAAAAAATGATTGACAAAAGAAACAGTGATTATGATATTGATAAATTATTCTTTAAAGTAATTACTGTATGGCTTATTTGATAAAAGCCAATTTTTTCTATGGTTTACATCAAATAATTAAAGAGACATAACGTATGTAATATGAATTGAGATTAAATGGTCATTACACACTTACTTACGACTGTTATTCCTCATGAAGGAGCATAGGCCGCTCATCAACATTCTCCGTCCAACTCTGGCCTGGGCAATCCTTTCTAGCTCCTTCCAGTTGTTATTCATCCTTTTCATATCTCATTCTATTTCCCGACGTAATGTGTTCTTTGGCTTTCCTGTCTACCGTTTCCCTTCAGAATTTCAAGCTAGGGCTTGCCTCGTGATACAGTTTAGTGATTTCTGCAATGCATATCCTATCCGCTTGCAAAATCTTTTCTTAATTTCCTCTTCGGATGGAAGTTGGTTTTTTCTCTCCCACAGTAGGCTTTTCCTGATGATATCCGGTCAATGGACATTCAGTGTGTTGAGTTTACAATTGTTTATAAATACATGTACCATTTTGATGATGGTTGCAGTAGTTCTTCAAGTTTCAGCTCTGTACATTAGGACTATCTTGACATTCGTATTTAAGATTGTGACACTGATGTTGGTTGACAGTTGTTTTGAGTTCCATATGCTGCTCAACTGTGGGATTGCTACACTTGCTTTGCCAATCCTCGCCTTTGCATCTACATCAGATCCTCTTTGTTCATCGATGATGCTGCTGTCCAGATACGTGAAAGATTCCACCTGATCCGTAGTTTCTCCGTCGAGTGTGATTGTGTTGGTATTCTCCGTGTTGTACTAGAGGATTTTGCCTCTTCCCTTGCGTATGTTGAGGCCTACTGATTCAGAGGCTGATGCTTTTTTTCGTGTGTATGGGATAGAAGGAACAAATCATCAGTGAAATTCAAATAGTCTAGTTGCATCCAACCTGTCTATTGTATACGGTGCTTTCTTTCAGATATCGACGTCTTTATAATCCAGTCTACCACCAGAAGAAACAGAAAGAGGAAGAGACAGTAAGAAGCCTTTCTGACTCCGGTTCTTACTTGGAATGCACATGTCAGCAGTCCTCCATGCACCACTTTGCAGTACAGTCCATCCTATGAATTCCTGGTGATGTTGAAGATTTACATTTTCCAAATGAAGTATTTACTGTATGGTTCTCAGATTTTGCTGAGATATTCTGCGATGTTGTGTTCAAATACATTCGATTGTCCCCACTTGTGTTCTCGTTCATTCCACTACTGCCTTCCCGCTCTTGGTTTCTCCGATGACCATCCTGAGTTCTTCGATCATTGTTGCAGAGACGTCGATAGGAATGCCTGAGTGTGATGCTTAAATTTCCGATGGATTCAATGAGGCTGATCTATTCGAGAGTTCTTCAAAGTGTTCCACCCATCTGTTCTTCCGTTCTTGAATCTCAGTGACTTTCGTGCCTTCTTTGTCGTTGACCAGTCTCTCTTACTTAAATACTTACTTACCCCTGTTACTCCTCGTGAAGGAGCATAGGTCGCTCACCAGCATTCTCCATCCAACCCTGTCCTGGGCAATCCTTTCCAGCTCCTTCCAGTTGTAATTCATCTTTTTCATATCTGCTTCTATTATCCGACGTAATGTGTTCTTTGGCCTTCCTCTTTTACGCTTCCCTTCACGATTCCAAGTTAGGGCTTGTCTCGTGATGAAATTTGACGATTTGCGTAATGTCCTATCCATTTCCATCGTCTTTTCCTAATTTCTTCTTCATTTGGAAGTTGGTTTGTTCTCTCCCACAGGAGGCTATTGCTGATGGTATCCGGCCAATGGATGTTGAGTATCTTGCGTAGACAGCTATTTATAAATACTTGTACCTTTTTGATGGTGGTTGTTGTAGTTCTCCAAGTTTCAGCTCCATACAGTAGAACTGCCTTGACATTCGTATTGAAGATTCTCACTTTGATATTGGTTGAAAGTTGTTTTGAGTTCCATATGTTCTTCAATTATAGGAATGCGGCCCTGGCTTTGCCAATCCTCCCCCTCTCCTTGTTCGTTGATGATGCTTCTCAGGTACGTGAAGGATTCTACATCTTCCAGAGTTTTGCCATCAAGAGTGATTGGATTGCTGTTCTCTGTGTTGAATTTGAAGACCTTGGTTTTCTACTTGTGTATGCTGAGGCCTACTGATGCAGAGACTGCTGCTACACTTGCTGTCTCTATCTGCATTTGTTCGTGTGTATGCGAGAGGAGGGTTAGGTGATCTGCGAAGTCCAAATCGTCTAATTGATTCTGAGTTGTTCATTGTATTCTGCGTTTTCCTTCAGATGTTGAGGTCTTCATAATCCAGTCGACCACCAGAAGAAAGAGGAAGAGAGAGAGAGTAGACAGCCTTGTCTGAGTCCGGTCCTCACTTGGAAAGCATCGGCTGTTCTCCGTGCACGATTTTGCACTGTGGCCCGTCGTATGAGTTCCGGATGATGTTGACAACCCTTTCAGAAACTCCATGGCGTCGAAGAAGATTCCGTAATGTCACTGTCAAACGCCTTTTCATAATCAATGAATTTGATGTACAGTGACGAGTTCCACTCAACTGATTGTTTGACGACGATCCGTAGTGTCGCAATTCGGTATGTGCACGACCGATCCCTACGGAATCCAGCCTGTTGTTCTCAAAGTTGGCCGTCTACTGCGTCTTTCATCTGGTCCAGCAATACTCTGTTAAAGACTTTCCCTGGTATTGACAGTAGTGTGATGTCTCTGTAGTTTACACATTTGTTCAGATTTCCCCCTTTGGAATCTTGATGAGGTGTCCTTCTTTCCAGTCCATCGGCACTTGTCCCTCCCACCACATTTTTTTAATAGAAGGTAAAGCATGCTTGTAGTTGCTTCTATGTCTGACTTCAGTGCTCCAGCTAGTATATTGTCGGGTCCTGCTGCTTCCCCGTTCTTGATTTGTCTGATGGCCATTCTGATTTCTTCCGTCGTTGGTGGAGTTACATCTATTTGAGGGTCTGTGTGTGGTGCTTCGACGTCCGGTGGGTTCATTGAAGCCGGCCTATTCAGGAGTTCCTTAAAGTATGCTACCCATCTGTTCCGCTGTTGTTGAATTTCAGTGATTGGCCTGCCTTCTTTGTCTTTGACTGGTCTCTCTGGTTTACTATATCTCCCCGCTAGTTTCTTCGTTGCATCATATAGTTGTTTCATATTTCCTTTTCTTGCAGCTTCTTCCGCCGTCGGTGCTAGTTCTTTCACGTATTTCCTCTTGTCGACTCTAATGCTCTTCAATTGCTTGTTTGCTTCTATGTACTCAGCTTTTGCCTTGACTTTCTCTGCTCGTATTCGGCTGTTGTTAATTGCTGTCTTCTTGTTCTTCCTTTCTTTGATCTTGTCCAGTGTTTCTATAGAGACCCATTCCTTATGATGGTGTTTCTTTAGACCCAGAACCTCTTGACACGTTGAAGTTAATGCTTCCTTGATGCCTTTCCAGTTGTCCTACATAGTAGTTTCTTCTTCCTTCAGTAGATCCTGTAAGGCTTGGAACCTGTTGTTGAGAGCTATCTTGAATTCATTGAGTCTGTCAGTATCTCGAAGGAAGGCTGTATTGAACCTTTGTAATGCTGTTTGTCCAGTTGTCCAGTTCTTCTTTAGTTTCAGCTTTAAATTGGCTACAACTAGGTGGTGATCTGAAGCTACATCAGCTCCTCTTCTGCTTCTCACATCTTCCATTGTCTTTCGGAATTTTTAGTTGATGCAAATATGATCTATCTGGTTATCTGTGGTATGGTCCGGTGAGATCCATGTAGCCTTGTGTATACGCTTGTGTGGAAATATTGTGCCTCCTATGACCAATTTGTTGAATGCACATAGATTTGCAAATCTTTCTCCATTTTCGTTTCTCTCTCCCAGTCCATGTCGTCCCATAATATCTTCATATCCGGTGTCGTCTATTCAGACTTTGGCGTTTAGATCTCCCATCAGAATGGTGAGGTCCTTTCTTGGGCACTTTTCTATTATTGAATGCGGCCTCTCATATAATTGATCTTTAATGTCGTCTTTGATGATTGGAACATAAATAATAGGTTTAGAGCACTGAAGATGCTTCGTATTGTTAATTATAACAGTAGTATTAGTGTTATTATTCGTTGTAATGATAATAAGAACAAACACTGATACTAGTTGGAATAATAATAAACACAATGAGCATAATAGATATATTTCGAAAAATAAAAAGTAATTAGCAACAATGATAGATAAGAATTTACTGGATCATATTATCGTGTTGTTAGAAAATGAGAATGAGATATTCAGTTTAATCCATTCCGCATTTGCACAATCGTTAGGATGTTGATTACAAACATTCGCAAGTGTTATGTTGAAATTTTATTTTATTTATTTATTTGGACACATAGATATTGGTACAAGTGAGCACCAGATACATATGCACCACACAAATCTCATTTGATTTGTTTAAGGGCTGTGATACTGTTCGGGTGCTCAAACCGAAGCATGTGGTTGTCTTAGCGGCCTTCCTTTCCAGTTCTATTCAATTCTTGTTCACTTTTCTCATGTCTATTTCAATTTCTCAGCGTAATGTGTTCTTTAGTCTTTTTCTCCTCCTTTGACCTTGAGGATTCCATGTGAGGGCTTGTCTTGTGACGCAGTTGTGTGCATTCCTCAATGTGCATCCTATCCACTTGCTGTGCTTGTAACGGCCGAACTACCAGTATTCGGTTTGAATGCAGGAGTGACGAACCAAATGTATTCGAATAGGCCAGATTACGTTCCTCTGTATAGCTTACAAAGCGTTTTTGAGGCACTCGTATTGAATTATACCAAAACACAAACTTCGTGCTCAATTTAAACGGTTTTAATTTAGGAAATAAAATAAATTATATCAAAAATACGAAATACCTCGAACGGTACAGCTTGTGCTATACAGTCAGAAGTTTCTTTAACGCAAAGTAGCGCACTAAACGATAAAAGAAACAGTTAATACCAAAGGGTTCGATACCTGAGAATCAATAAAATATTCCCAACAAAATGGGATCAAATATCTATCTGCAGGGATTCCAGCAATCCTCCCAAGCAGACAGCCAAAAGGTTAGCAGTCACACACTGAACCACGCCGTAACCTTGGGCTTATTCAAACACGACCTTACTGTCAATAGTCCGGCAACATGCAATAGAAAATTAGGTAACAAAAGATATGTCTTTAATCAAAAGGCTCAGACTAGGAAGACTAAAGAACAAAGGGTGTGGTTAAACGAGATCTGAACAAAGGTTAAAATACTTAACATGGAGAAGAAACAAATAAATGACTGTACTGCCCAACAAAAAAGCTTCGGAGGGATTTTCATCGTTCTCTTTCCGTTACAATGCTTCTTCCTGATTTCTACTTCTGCTGAAATCTGGTTTGTTCTCTCCTACAGTAGGTTGTTACTGATAGTGTATGATCAACGGATCCGAAGTATTTTGAGTAGACAACAGTTAATAAACACTTGTGTGTTTTGGACTATGACTTTCGCAGTCCTCCAAGTTTCCGCCCCAGTAGACAGTAGGACTGTCTTGACATTTGTATTGCGAATTCCGACCTTGGTGTTGTTTGACAGATAGTTGTTTTGAGTTCCAGATGTTTTCGGTTATAGATATGCTGCTCTTGCTTTGAAAATTTGCGCCTTCACATCTGCATCAGATCCATCGTGTTCATTAATGATGTTGCCCAGATATGTGAAGGTTTTTACATCTTCTGTAGCATCGCCGTCAAGTGTGATTCGATTGGTGCATGCTGTGTTGTATCGGAAAGATTATATATAAATATATCCCTAAATAAAGAAAAACTGAATTTTAAAATGTTATTTTCATTAAATGGAGACAAATGATTTGATTTATCGAAGAAATACGAAAACATATTCAGAAATGTTACTACCGTAATACAATTTTCGGAAATGTTTTGGAAATATTAGCTTAGACTTTTTTGAGTCATTTTACCTCTACTTTGATAATTAGAGTAAAATTACGTAATGCTCTCTATTCCTACAGTGACACTTCATATCAGCATCTAATTTTTCATATCTCACCAACGGTAAATAGCTTTATTTTATTGAAATACCTCATGTGAGTTCTTTAGACAAGAAGTGATTGTTCTAAATACTTTCAATTATTAAGACAAACCATTTGATTAGTTATTGATTTTTTAAATATAGATTTTACTGGACAAAAAATAACAGATATAATATATAGAAGCCCAATTTGGATACGTTTAGTCATCTATGTAAAAACAATCTATAATCTAGAACAGATTATCATCGATTGAAAAAGTCACAGTTCATACCAGTATACAATCAGTATAGATTAACATGATGAAAAGGAAGAGTTAAAGATATAAATGATCATGAGTAAATAAACCTAATCAAAAACAAGATTGAAAATAAAAACAACTGAAATACCATACTGATGTGACAGGATATAAGGATGATATTATTGTACTTAATATTTATTGTATCAATTGATTGGGAATCTTGGCTAGTCTAACAAGTGTGGACCTATGTTCGGTGTGGGAGTTATATTCCCTGTATCAATTCACCTAAATTATATTCACAGTGTGTTTCTACAGTAATTTCATGTATCATCCTTTATATGTGATATTATTGTGTAAAAATTAATATATAAATGATTATATTTTTGTTTAATAATGATGTGATGTTAGGAGTCGATTGAAGACGTATTTTTGAAGAGTCGAAAAAATCTTAATTACAACAGTCTTTTTTGTTCCCATCTAGACATATGTGACCTACAATGGCTCTTGATTGTCACAGTAAGAGTCAGTACCAATATGACAGCGATGAAACATGGATAAATTAACAGAGTTGACAACCTCAGACATAATAATGTTGACACATAGATTAAATACACTCAAATTTACAAACTTACAAGAACATAACAAATGTAGACCATCGAATGATTAACATCGATTTCAATTCATAGAATCTAAAGTTAGAATTTTATTTTACAATTAACTTATTCACTAATCTAGACTTATTGTATCAACTGATAGAAACAGATAACAAGCTTTAGTATACCATTCCCTGTTGCTGTTACCCCCCCCCATCATATTACTTGCTTACTTACTTACTTACTTACGCCTGTTACTCCTCGTGAAGGAGCATAGGCCACTCACCAGATTTTTTCTGGTTAGCGGTTTTTTTAGCAAGTTAGTTTTCTATGGGATGGGGTCGCTAACCCCATGCCTCAACCCTCCTCCTTTACCTGGGTTTAGGACCGGTAGTAATTACAGAAGAGCTACAGGTGGAGTTTCCCCCATCATATACTTTAACATATTTTTAAAAACGTTTATCGTTAGAAAACTAATAGTACCATATAATTACTGAGTACCATAATCTTCAACAAAGAAGTTTCTTCTTCATTATTCATTATCATTTATATTATTGGTTTTTTTTGTAATACTATAAGCATGTGCGTTATTATTATTATTACTTTTACTACTGTTATTATTATTATTAGAGTAAGTGGATCAATATTTCATTAACCAATCCAAATGATAGGTCAGTTAATCTGGTGCTACTTTAAGCGTGTGATTGGAAAGCAATAAGAAAATCTGAAACGTTTTTTTGTTTTTATTTTTATTAAAAAAACGTTTTTAATTGCTGTTGTTATACGTTTGATAAGTTTACTATGTCGGATTTAAACAATGTGACTGGATCAAATATTGTAAGTTGAATTATTGATAAGTATTGTAAATGAATGAATGAATGAATGAATGAATAGTTTAATCATTTTAGGCTATGTTTATGAATTTAGGAATAATTTTTGATTGGGCTCTCCTATTAAATTTATGGTGTAAGTGTAGGTTGGAAGGAAGTTAGAGGCGGCCAGACCAAAAACATGGTACAAATCCATGAATTTACTAACAAGTGAACTAAGCCATGTTGGTAGGTGTAGACTACTTGGTTGGGATCCGTGAGACGATAGCAACCGATAGTTAGAGACCTTGAATGACATGGCTAAAAATCATTTGCAATGGCTTAGGTGCATCCGTTCTTTGTGTTCTCCCGAATTCTAATCTTTTGGATACTTCATGTAGCGTTTTTTCTCTTTCCAAATTTATTTCCCTGGATTATGCTTCATGAATAACATGTTCAAACCCTAATCTTTACAATTACTGCTTATACTTTTACTACCTCTAACACTATGGGACTTGGATCAATAATTGTATCTCTGTGCTAATTTGGTATGGCAACTCAAACTGATGTACCTACGTACGAAGTTCTACGTTGCTTCAGACTGACTCTTATTAAATTCTTTATAATCGACTCAAAATACAATTCATGTTTCTTAAAGAATATTACCGTCACATGTTAAGCATTACATTTGGTGATAACTAATCATTGAATGTAAGATATGTATTTTATCCTTTAATTCGTTAATTAGATATACATCCACCCTACTTGCCTACTTCTAATACCCCTCGTGAAGGAACGTGATCTTCCTCCTTTCTTTGCTTTCCTTACCTTTAGGATTACAAGTTAGCGCTTGCCTCATGATGCACTCTGATGATTTTCTCGATATACGTCCTATCCAACTGCACCATCTTTTCCTAATTTTATCTTCAATTGGAAGCAGGTTTGTTCTCTCCCACAGTAGGTTGTTGCAGATGGTATCCAACCAACAGACATTGAGTATCTTGCTTAGATAATTGTTTGTAGATACTTGCACGTCTTCGATGATGGATTTAGTAGTTCCTTAAGTTTGAGCTTCGTACAGTAGAACTGTCTCAACGTTCTTATTGAAGATTGTGACTCTTATGTTGGTTTACGGTTGTTTTAAGTTCCATATGTTGTTCAAATGTAGGAATGTTGCCTCTTGACAATCTTTACCTCCATATCTGATTCAGTCCACTTTGTTTATTAATGATGCTCTCCAGAAGTGTGAAAGTTTCCATGTCTTCCAGAATTCCTTCATCAAGCGTGATTAGGTTGGCTTTTTCCGTGTTTTATTTGAGGATGTTTCTTTTTCTTCTGTGCATGCTGAGACCTACATCCAGCTTAGCAAGATACATATTCGGCAAAGTAATGAGAATCTGAGTAATTACGAGCTTATTAACTCCCTTTAGTCGTATTGTATTCTTTGAGTTTAATAGTTTAATCACAAACGTTTCATTGTTGATCTGGACAACATCGTCAATCTTTATTTCACACAGAACACTTTATTCGCATTTTACAACTATTAGTCTACAAGTATGTGATTACAAAATCAGTGTAATTTAAATGTACAAGCTTTTTTAATATGAAGCATAAAGAACATCATTAGTATCCATCTGATGAATATTGAATATCATAAGGATAACTTTAACTATTCAATGCATAAACATGTGAAAATAAGGAATTTTTTAAAAAAATATGGTACACTTTTATTCGGTAAATTACATTTGTCATAGTCTAAACTATGTCTAATTCTCTACCATTAACATTCTTACAACAAAAGAAGAAAAAATAACCAGGGTGAAAAGTAAGTGGTAATATTGTTTAAAAATAAAACTAAGAATAAACAAAAACTGATTCAATGGGAATGAATGAAATCGAAGAATCAAACATATGACAAGTCATTAATCACATGTCTTACAAACAAAAATAGTAAAGAGATTCAATATCACTGTTGATATACTTTATCTAAGGTTTTGAATAATAAACTACAATTATTTAACAGCTATTTAGTGGCCTTTTATTTTGTTGTCATTTGAATTGGACGATGTTTTAGATGGGTTCACCACTTTAATAGCCCGAGATCTGATTCCAGTGAGATCGTTTCTGATTACTATTGAGATATACACATCGTCAATTATCGAATTAAATCGCGTTAGTGAACAACGGAATTAAATAAGTCAAATACGAGAATGGATTTTTGAATACATATATTTTGTACAGTTGTTGGTCGGTACAGATAATCAGAGAGAGGTAGCGAAGAATCCAAAGAAAAGAGAGAGTGAAGTGAAAGGAAAGAACGCTCTGTGGAGAAGACATGTGAGCTAATTCCATTTAACCAAGGGTCATTTCGCTCTCTCTCGTCTTCGGCTGCTTCGCTACCTCTCTCTGATTATCTGTACCGAACAACAATTGTGTAAGATATGTGTATTCAAAAATCCATTCTCGTATTTGACTTATTTAATTCCGTTGTTGACTAAGGCGATTCAACTCGATAATTATATGCGGGGATTGACGATGTGTATATCTCAATAGTAATCAGAAACGATCTCACTGGAGTCAGATCTCGGGCTATTAAAGTGGTGAGTCCGTCGACAACATCGTGAGATCTAATTGATGTATAAATAAAGGACCTCACTAAATTATACATATTTTTATACCTTGTACATTGCCATTTATTTTTCAATACTAAATCGTTTCATATAAGCTCAATAACAGTTTAGAGAACTAAAGAGTTTTTTATTTCACGTAAAACTGATTAAACTAATTTCAGTCAGATACATTTAAAAGGTTTACCATTTACTAGGTACATATTTACTCGTTTGATTGGTAGATGATCATTCTTTTAATAAACAAAAACTAAAGTATGCAATCAGGTGACATACAGAATTATTTTCTGTCTTCAAATTGAATAAGTCATTAAATTATATAGTTGCTAGGTTTTACCGGGGTATTTTTTAACGTATTAGTTTATATAGACATATAAGAATTGTTTACATTATTTTTAGAATTAATTCTGAGTCAATGTAGATTTCAAAAGGAAGTAATTTGTATTACTATTTGAACTGGCTGACTATTGAAAATCATGAATCAGAGAATGATAATTTATTTCTATTAGATTACATCCAATCAATTATCATCCATAAACCTAAGCTTTATGGAACTTAAAGATTTCAGTAATAGATATTAATACAATCTAATCCAACTAAGAAACCGAAAATCAATAATCAACACTTCATAATTCATACACAATACTATCAATGATTAACTGTTATACTACCGATCTATTTAACTTTACACTATATGGCTTCCTACCAAAAGTTGTGGAGGCTAATCACTTATCAAGATATAGTCATCAAACACAGTGGATATTTATAGAGATTTAGTAATACTGTCAAGGTTGAGTTGTGTTAATGAAGTATGAATTAGAATGAAATTTCTGAGTACCTTTTCACAGTATTCACTGGCTGTTCAGATAATCGTAGTCTGCTAATAAAAATTAACAGAAATCACTTTAAAATCATCTTGGCAAACTAAGTAGTTCCATACTAGGATGAAACGGATGTACAGTGCTTTAACGTTTTTAATGGTTGTCTAACTTTGATTAGTTCATGATTTCAATCATATTCTACAACATCTACAGCCCCATAATGAAAATTTATTTGGAGTGATTACTTTTTACGATTTTATTCTTCGTTACGTATCTAACTTTGATCGCAACACAATCCTGAACACCTACATTTAACTTATAGATATATCGGCTAAATTGAGTTTATGATGATTTTATAGGTATCAGTGCCAAGGTTGAACTTGATAGTTTCAAATAAATCGAGCATTGAATAATCAATATGTTTTGTTTTATTCCAATGAGTAGAAAATGTGTATGTCTGACGTTTCGTGATTTAATGTAAGCCACGTCTTCAGAATAAATAAGTAACAGAATTAAACCAATATAAGTATGAATAATACGTAATAAACAATGCCGAATATTTTTAGACCTTTGTATTATTTGAACATGTGTAATTTAACTCGGTTATTTAGTTACTCTGAAGAAGTGGCTTACATTAAGTCATGAAACACCAGAAATATCATTCCCCTTTTCATTATGATACAACAAAATATATCAACATTTTAGATCATGAGTCAGTTGAGGCTAGACCACCATGGAAAACCTGGAAGTATTGGACGGCCGTTTCGTCCTATTGTGGGACTCCTCAGCAGTACACATTCACGATTGCGCCTCGCGGGATTCGAACTCAGGACATATCAGTCTCGCGCAAGGCGCTTAAACACAATAGGACGAGACGGCCGTCCAGTGCTTCCAGGTTTTCCATAGTGGTCTAGCTTCAATTGACTCATGATCTCGACTGTTGAAATTACTACAATCTCCACAATACCCCTTCTGATAATAAAAAAATATATTTATCATGATGATTTTGTGCCACTTATATTCACACTGTTTAAGAGTTTTAAACTGGTGAAAATGACTAAACAATAATTGTTTGTTTGTTCGCCTTAGATTATTTACTGAGAAAAGAAATTACTCTCATTGTTTATTGTTTATGTAAAGATTATCTCAAAAGAAAAGAGATTAATTGATTACAAGTGAATTTAGTAGAAAACAACTTGATAAGGTTAGAGTTATTAAATTTTCAGATTGTAACTTGTTATGTGCTTAGACTATTTAATAAAGATTAATCTATACACAAAAGAAATAACAATATTATTTGTCGTTATCACAATCCATAGCATTTATTTTTGTACTTGCAAGGATCAGATGTTACGGCTTGTTTTATATTAAGTACAATGTTCAGATTTCATTAGGTTTATATCTAGTTAACTTATTCTCTGGATGTGTCAGCATGAAGGTCAGCGCGTATGAGAAAATTTGAAGAAGAGATGAATAAGAGACAAAGCGAACAGATCACTCATTAAGTAAACAAGATATGTTTGCATGAAAGCAACTTACTAAGAAGTTAATAAAGCAAGATATGGAATGTATTACAAAGA